CTTATAGTCAGACCTCTGTATGAAGCACTAAGAGTATTCAGGARTCCAATCTAAAGGTTCAGAATCTCTTCCTGACAGGCTTCTGAGCCTCAAACCTAACTACCACTTGAGGTTTGCCAAAGTTAAATAAGCTCTTCAATTTGTATGTACATGAGAAACAATGAACTAGGCTAGGAGTGCTTACTCTTAATGTAGTATCAACACTATGTCTAGGGGCATATTTTTCAAAGCAATTAGACCCCACAGTGACCAGGATAGCTGCCTTGCCTGAGGGCAGTTGCAGCCACCAGTGAACTGTTACATGAGGCTGACAAGTTTGCACTAGTGCTACCCACTACAGCATGTGCTCACCATCATGGGTTAACTCTGCTGGAGCAAAAGTGGTTACTGGCTGCTGGCAGGAAGGATGGGCAGATGCCAGGCTACTGTTCTGGATGATACGAATGTTAAGGTGTCCTCTACTTTAAATCCAGCCACTCTATTACCTAGTGACACAGGGATGATACCAACTTGCAGGGATTGTCTGCAGTCAAGACAGTTGATGCAAGCAGGCTAGATTTGGCTGATCAACCTATGGAAGACTGGGAGACAGAACTCTTCACTACTGGTACCAGCTTCTGGAACAAAGTGAGAGACAATGCAGGGTATGGGGTAGTAACTGTCCAAGGGACAACTGAAGCAGATGCCCTGCTACTTGGGACTTGGCACAAAAGTCTTAATGTACCATACTCACTGGAGCCCTGATTCTGCTGGAGAACAAGTGAGTCAATATCTATGCTGACTCTAGGCCTTCACGATGGCTCATGCACAATGGGGCTATTTGGGAGGATCAGCAACTAAGTGACCTCAAACAACATGGATATAAAATCTGCATCTCAGACTTTACAGTTATAAGAAGCAGTGCACAAACCTTGGCAGGTCTCAATAATGTACTGCCCTTGTCTTCAGAAAGGGGATGAAGTTGTGGAAAAGAGAAACTGGCCAATCAAATGGTAAAACAAGCTGGCAAAACAAAACACTAACAAGGCCCCTCCTGCCCCAAATAACCTTATCAGAATTTGCACCCAGGTACTCAGAAGAGGACTATAAAAGGGCAAAGGATTGGCATTTTATTAGTGAACCCCCTCAAGGATGGAAGGTGATGAAAAAGGCATACCTTTAATACCTAAGGCGTGAGTGTATTCTGTATTAAAACAAGAACACCACAGAACGTCCTTTCAACAAGGCACCACAATTTATAGTGGCTACAAAAACAAAAAACTGGTCCTGGACTACGACAGTGGACTCTTTATCATTGGGTCTGATCTGCATACAAACACCCATTGTAGCCCAGAGTGCAATGAAGGGCACCCATATAGGGGAGACTGTCTTCTGAGGATTTATTTTACTCGGATGCCAGGACTATCTTAACTTCAGGTGTTTGTTAACATGTTTCCAGGATGGGTAGAAGCTTTCTCTATTCAGACTGACAAAGGACTCACATTCTGCTAAAGGAAATTATACCAAGATATGGACTGCCAAAAACCATACAAAATGACCATGAACCAGCATTCATTAAAAAAAAAAAATCACGCATCAGGTTTCAGAAGCTTTAGATGTCAAATAGAAAGTGCATTCAGCATAGAAACCACAGTCAATGGGAAAAACTGACAAAATGAATCACACTTTAAAAAGATCACCATGTTGTCAGGAAACTCGCCTGACCTGGGATAGAAATTTACCCATTATTCTGTTACAGATACATGTGATCCCTAGAAGTAAGATCTGTTTAAGTCCTTTTGAAATTCTGTATGGTAGACCATTTCAGGCCTCATCCTTGGGGTGATACTTGAAGATTTAACATAATCTTTACAAATTGTTCCTTTTCAATATGATCAAGTGTTGTGGACAACCAGAGATATGAAAAGTTGTGCTCTATATGTGTAATATCGTAATGCATTCTGCTGTCATATAACAAATTAAAATTTAAAAATCTGTTTCTCAGAGGTTACTGTGTGCCTCTGATGTCCTGTTGCATGACCTCTAATCTGGAAATGGAGTACCCTTAAAGATGTGGAGGGAACAGAATCTAGATAACCAATTTAATGCCAAGTGTACAACATGATCAGTCTTCCTTAGAATGGGTGGGAATCAAACCATAAATCCATTGTACTTGGATGAAATGAACTCCACTATCAACATCAAGGAGACAGGGAAGACAACAAGAATGACTACTCCTGCCAAGTTGTAGATGATCTTAAGCTGCTATTTGAGAGAGACAAGGCCCATAKACCATCAGTAGAAATTGTACCAAACAATGGTAACCATTGGGATTGGGAGAGTTTTGTCTAAGCTGTTTCCATCCACAAAGAACTAAACACCCTCTTTGAAAAGCATATGGAAGGTTGCTTCCTGAGTCTCCAGGTTATTGACCTTTTAAAGCACCTCAGGGTTGCCTTGGGGGGTGTCTCCCCTGCAAGGCAAGGACAGTAAAGGCCAAAAGGATAAAATGTTGAAACCAACCTGTACTTCAAAAAAACCTGTGCTACCATAAAAACTAAATGGTTATGTGTRTATCCCAGATAATTTGGGAAATGTCTCGTTGGTCCTTGTGGGACTTACTTGCTCAGGTAAAGGCCCTGACTGATGAATCAAGGCTCAACCTAAATGCATGGTTCACATCTTGGTTAGGGTAAAGTCTTTTAAGACTTGCTATCCCAGGGGGCTGGGAGGCMATGATACTATAACACTTCAAAATGAGTTGCCCTGGCTCAGCCCAGAAAAGAAATTCAAAAGGCTTCTTTGATAACCAGGCCAGGAGTTTGGATGCCCATAATTCTTTTTCTTGCTGGATTGTTCCAGTACTTCTAGTACTTGTATTGAATAAAAGTGGAGAAAATGGGCATCTTTGTCTTGTTCCAGACTCAAATAAGGCTTTCTTTTTTTTCTTGTTCATTCTACTTAAGGGTTTTTCAATTTTGTTCATCTCTTAAAAAAAAAAAAAAAATCAAGTCTTCATTTCATTGGGGTTTTACACTGTTTCTGAATTTTCTGTTTCTGCTGTTTTTTGTCTTCTAATCTTTCATTTTTTTTTCCCTTAAGGTTCAATGATAGGTTGTTAATTTGAGAGTTTTCTGCTATTTTTACATTGGCACGTTGCAATAAACTTCTTAGTACTGCTTTTGTTACAACCCACCAAAATGTGTGGGATACGTTTCCATTATCATTTCTTCCAAATTTTAAAAAATTTCCTTGATTTATTCATTGATCCATCAGTTGCTGAGGAGTATGTGGTTTAAGTTCTAAGAACTTGGATACTTGATTTCCCATTTTATTGCATTATTATCACAAAAGATACCTGATATTATTTTGATATTTAAAAATTTGGTAAGACTTGTTTTGTAGCCTGCCATAGGATCTATCCATGAGAATAGATGTTCCATGTATTGGAGTCTTTAGTATATTAATATTTTCTTTCTATTACGTGTTCTAATATTTGATGCATTTCATCATTATTTACTCTTATTGAATTGACCCCTTTATTATTATACTTTATTTGACGGAAAAGCATAATGATTTCCCATGTAGGAAAGAGGTTTAATTTTTTTTTTTTTTTGAGGGAGGAAACATTTATAGATAAGTAGGTTTTCTATGTTATGTCACTCTGGCATTTCTGAGTTAAAGCCAATAGGGTGTGATGTTATCTTTTAAAAATATATTGTAAGATTTAGCTTACACATTCCAAAAGGATTTTTGCATCTGTGAAATGAGTAAGATTGGCCCTAATTTTCCTTCCTCTTTCTATTCTTGTCTGATTTTAGGATCAAGGCTACTCTCAGCTTTACCAAATGAGTTGGAGAGTATTTCCTCTTCTTTTTGCTCATTGAAGGCATTTGTATAAGATTGTTCTAAATCTGTTCTAAAAAGCTTGGTTTCACTCTTCTAAAACCATATGTCCTGGTGTTTTTCACTGTGGAAAGTGCTGCCTTCTTTAGCACATGGAAGATACTGGACTACTCTCTTTTGGCTCCCATAGTTGCTGTTACAAGGTCTACTCCTGTTCTAATTTTAACTTTCTTTGTCAGTCATCTCTCTCTTTTTCTCTGGTTTTGGTCTTCTCTTTGGGCTGCGTTTTCTTTACAATATGTATAAGTGTGTGTTCCTTTATTATTCTGTCTGATGTAGATCATGCTTTCTGTTATGTAAACTGATGTCTTTCAATCTATTCTGGAAAAATTTCCTCTCACCCATTATACATTTTCTTTAACAAATTGAGGCTTTGTGATTTGGTTATGTATAAAAAAAAAAAAAAATCTGGGCTGAGGTTGTGGTTCAGTGGTAGAGCGCTCACCTACCACATGAGTTCAATCTTTAGCACCACATAAAAATAAATGAATAAAGGTATATACAATTAAAAAATAAATGAATAAACCCTTATTTATTTAAGCCAGTATAGGTAAATTTTATCTCTTGCAGCTAAATGTAAACACCAAACAAATTTAGAGGCTTTGTTTGGTAATAGTTATTTGATCTAGCCAACTTCTTTTTCAGCAAATAATGATTTATAGCTGTCAGTTTTCAGAGTTAATTTTAGAGATATAAAAAACTAAGTTGGGATATTTTGAAAATGTAATAATTGAATAAAAACAATAGTCTGAAGTTATAATAGTGATAAAACTTCCTTATATTCAAAGGTCACATCTTATTCATCTTAAGCCCTGCTATAGTCCCATATGCTGCTCGGTGCCCCCAAATTTAAAAAAAAGATGGTCATTTAATACAGTATCAAATGGAATCATATCTCTGTTACACGTGTTTTTTAACGTCTAAAGTAGACAACCAATTTCATTTAATTAGAGTACTATGGGTATTCTCAGGCCAAATCTGATTAATTCATCTCCTAAAAATAATTATTACCAGGCATTAGGAAAATATGCATTTTAAATAGAGTTAGCAACACTTTAAAAATAGTGTCTGCAAATATGCAGTCTTAGAAACTATTTCAAAGTACACTTTCCTACCTCCATGACAATGATAAAAGCCAGCTTGGCGGCGATCACATGCCAATAGTAGATATTGTGTTTATATTCTTGTGGGTGTCCTGGCGGGTTTCGGAAATCACGATACCTGGAAACAAAACAGAGGTATATTAGGAGACAAGTTATTTTCATCAACTACTGTAAACAAGGGCCCTATTTTAAAAAGGAGTTGTGTTTAGTGCARTGTTCTTTCAGTTGGCACTATAAATTTTCTCCCAGATCTCAATTTGGACACAAAACTCTGAGGGGGGAAAAACCCACTGCAATAATAACTCCTTGAATATGTACTCAGAAAAAAAAGACACAATTTAGCCTATTTCCAGGATCATGTTTGTTAATTATTTATATAATGTTGTTTGAATTGGCTCAGTCACGGGACCATCTCTCTGTACAAAGCACAGAGAGATGCCTCCTCATTGTGACTTTTTAACCTAATTTCTTGTCATCAGATGTCCTGTGTTACTGTTGTAAACTTAGAAGAGTTGATTCACTGATTAGAATTATGTAGAGTTTAAAAAAAAAAAAGCAGGTTCAGTGTAGGATTCTAAAGAGGTTGTACCAAGTATAACTTGGAAACATTAATTTTGGTTGTGTTGTTGGTTATGTTGAGAATTTGAATCGGTGCAGCCTTTGAAGAATTAGACTAAAGGCATTTAAAAGCCTCCTTTAGGAGGCTCTATGAGTAGTGATGTTTACTGTCCTTAGTTGAACTTACCAGTCTTTAAAACCAATGCAGAGAGATTTGGAATACTTTTAGAGAATATTGTTAGGTATCTACATCATTTACCTTTACATGTTTGTTAAATGAAGGTTCTTGTATACCATTGTGTATCTTCAGATAGGATTAATTTATTATTCAAGAACAAACAATTAAATGATCTTGATTTCTGGATGTCTTGAAATTTCTCCATTTCTAAAATATGAGTTTCCCCCTGGATCTGTTTCCCTGAAACCGTAAGAAATTCTGACCTTTCAGTCTTGCTTTTTTGGTTTGGTTTAAAAATCCTAACCCAAKTCTTTCTTACCTTTTTTTAATTGCAAGGAAAGCTATTAAAGAAAAAGATATGTGGGAAATATTTCTAGCAATTTGATTTAAATGACACACACACACACATGCCCTTTTCAAGATTACGTGACTTTTTAAAATAGATAGCAGAACTTGCCTGCATGTGGTATAGTCACCAAGCCCAGAGAATGAATCTCCTTTGCTTTTGTTTTTGAAGTCTGCGATGTTGAAGATGGAGAGAGTATTGCTGATGTACCCCTCCATAGTATAGTGAGTGTGGTCCCCATAGGGAGGGATGGAGAAGGACCAGTAATACACCAGGCGGGGGATCATGTCTGATGTGAAAGCAATGATCATGGCCTGTGTTGGGAGGAAAACAAATAAAAGAAGCACTAATTAGAGCTTTTGTTGCTATGATTAATAGATATGCTAGAATTACTATTTTCATCAAATTGCTTTTTTTTTTAACCAATATGATTCTGCAACCTGAACACTTACAAAAATGAGAATTCGTACCCCATTTGATTCCAATGTATGATATGTCAAGATCATTGTATTGTCATGAGCAACTAATAAAAAAATATTCAGAGATAATCTTTCTTAAATGTAAAATGAGTATAGAGTGAACGTCCTAAAATCTTTAAGCAATAAACTTAAAGTAGATTACTTTCTTTTTGGTCTTCAATTCTAAGGGACGGTCTCCAATTCAAATGCTAAGGCCTGATAGTTGCTTATTATGCTTCTTAAATATAATAAACACACTTATTCAAAAATAATTGTAGACTAAGATATTGTGGATGACTTTAGTTGCTTGCATATATTATGTAAATTAATATTTTTCAAAAGTTGAGATAAATGTTCAGTCAACTTTAGAGCTCTATTTGATATTCTTTCATGATTTGGATTTAGAACACTGTTGTAGATACAAAACTGTTATTTTCATAATATTGACCTTAGTATTATATCAATTACTTCTTCTATAAATAAGTTATAGAAAACTAAATTTCCCACTTGCTTCTCATAAAAATAGAATGTAAATTGCATAAAATATATTTTTCTGATATAAATTTAAATAGTGGCATTCAAATTTACATTTCCCCACCCCACCCATAGTATCTTGACTGATTATTTTTTTTAAAGGTTGACTTGTCTAAACAAATCTTATTTTAAACTTAACATATTCTTCTGTTCATTAGATCAGTAGAAAACAGGAATTTTTACTTTAATACAATGTGGGTGACAAGAAATTATATTGGAGTTGTTCCATTCACATAGTCCAGCAATGATGTCGGTGTTGTTACATCTAGTGTTTAAGCCTCCAAACTTGGTTTTAAAGAAGGGAGAGAATATACTTTAATTACATAGAATTTGGTTTAAACAAAGCTAAATGAGGTAGTCATGTTTTGAGATCAACATGACTTTTGATAGTATTCATCTAAACATATGGTTTAGACCTAGTGAGACCACAAACCAACAAATAAGATCTCAGGCAAAGCAAGAAAAACAATTAAGGGACTTTTATATTGATAAATTTCCCTTATTAGAATAAGCTTTGTCATTCCCTCCAATGTGAAAAATCTGTGTGTGTGCACGCGCTTATCAGTAATGAGGTGAGCAAGAATATGTTACCCTTTTCCAGATTTCAATAGATTAAATTTTCCTGCTATTTAACTCAACCATCCTTTTTATAGTATCACCTGCAGATGTGCTTCAGGAAGCTACAAAAATTCCAATGAGGAAGATAATTCTATTGTCTTCTGACAAGATACCTTTCTGTCCTGAATTGAGCTGCTTTGAGAGATGTGCTACAAGAGTACAAATAAATGCAGTGTGCTTCATTCCCCGGGCTGCACACAATTTTCCATTTACATCAAAATAAATTAGAATTGGTCTTCAATAGCAGATGCTCTGGCATGATACAGCAATGTCAATTCGGCTTATTTATTGAACCAGCAGCTTTAAAATGAATGGTTTAATACCAAACTCCAGCTTGATGGCCACTCTCACCCCTGGCGGCTGTTCTTCCTTCTATACACATTAGATTGTGGATTACACACGATGTGTTTGAGGGGTTGAGATTGTATGTGTGAAGGGATACAATATACGTTTAATGCTCATATTCACACACAAGTGTGTGTGTGTGTGTGTGTGTGTGTATATACACACACATGTATACTGCACCTTGGAAGTGTAGTAGATCCCAATAATGTGGGAAAAAGGATTAGACATAGATTAAGGATACACATGTGATAAGTTTTCCTAGGGTAAATTTTAAGAAAATACAGCTGTTGGACAGGAACCTGTAACACCAATTAGCTGGCATGTACACACACACACACACAGCAGCTTTGGAAAGTCAGCAAACCTCCATCTGTGCTAATGGAGTAGAGCCATGGCATGGATACTGGGAAAAGATGCCTAATACAATCAGACTGGAATGCTTGAGGAATGGGGAACTTGAGTCAATTGAATTTTCTGGTTGTTGAAGGTCAAACGAAAACCCTTTTGGTTTCAAACCTTTTTGCTGAAAATTTTCCTAAAGCATACAAGTCCATGTTCCTGCCCTGCTTAGTGTACTACAGCATATTGAACATGACAGATCCAATTCTTTTATGATTGTGGAACTTGAAAGGCCTTTCATATTTCTAAACATCAGTCTTCATTTTGAAGCACAGTAGATGTTGAAGGTTCAGGGTATTTGGGTGAAGGGAAACTGATATACTCTATCAGTTGGATTCTGTGTGTAATTTGCAACTTCTTCCAAAAAGTAGAGCAATTCAGATAAAAATTGAGGGTTTTGGGGTAGGTAGTAGGTGATAGCTGGTTCCAAATAACTTGTTTGATTATATACAATTGTAAACAGTCTAGATAATGACTGATTACAAAATTCTGTATTTCACTGCAGATTTTATACCTTTTTTTTTTTGGCAAAAGAGGGTTACAACCATTATGTGAAGCTTTTAAAAATATTGTGCTGGTATTACATAAAAATAATTTATTACTAAACTGTCTTTGGGGCAAAATTAGGAGGCATGGAATAGTTAACATGTTGGTGACAATTATATGGTGAAATACAGTTTTGGGGTTTTTGAAGTACCTGTCAGAGGCTTCAGAGTCATTGTTAATGATGTTGGGTAATGAAGATAAAACAAGAGCAGGTAATATTCAATAAGGACCAGGCTCCATGCAGTTCATGCATTATTTCATTGAATAATTCCCTACACACAACTGAGTGGTTAGGGAATTCATTTTACAAATGATGATGAGGCTCTGAATTGCTTCCGCATGAACCAAGGTCACACAATTCGAGGTTCAGTGTGGGAAAACAGAGCTTAGGCCTACCTCACTCTGTAGCCTGCAATGCTCAGGAACTCCCCTCCTCCAGAGCCTGGCTGTGGGGACTGCTGATTTCTGTTCTGTAGAAGTTCATGGGAAAGGCTGGGGACTCTTAATGCAGGCTAGAAACAACTGAATGTCCCCTCATAACTGGGACCCATGCAGGGCATGAGCCTGCTTCAGTTAATGACCAGTGAGGCTAGCAAAGACAAAGGGGTAGGATGGGAAAAGTGCTGAAAGCCACCTGTAACCCACCTCCTTGAAGAACTATTACCCTGGAGACAAGGAGGGTAACATAATTAGGAATGCACAAAGTGCTTAGACTTCATCAAAGTTAATATTTTAAATTGGTATTTTGGAATATATAGGAAAATATGAAGGGATGGTCTCATTTCTGGGTCCTAGAACATGATAAAAGCACCTTTTGATAACTCSCTCTATAATTATGAGGGTTAAAATGTTAGGAATATAATAGTAATAAGACTATTTAATTGAAACATTTTAGCAAATGAGAAACTATAGTACATTTGTAGTTGGTCTTAACCTGGTAAATAAATAATTATAAGCAAACAAAATGTTTTTAAAAGAATAATTAGTTACATAGCCTATAACTATGTTGCTCATATGCAATGATAGACTTGGCACTGTCCCATTTTATAAAGTACCAACCATTTCATTCCTTAGGTAGCATCCTAATGCATTTTGGGACATTTTAAGGTCTTAACTCTTTAAGCTTAGGTCTACTCACATTGGTCACCACAGCCAAAATCGCTATTCCTTGCATGATGGGCTGCCACGCGCCGATGTCTTGGGCCTTTTCTGGTACCATGCGTCTAAACTGCGTAGTCAGTTTCCATGCATCCACTCTTATTTCCAATATATTGTTCACCAGAGCCAACAGAGGAGCCAGTGGAAAAGAGGCCACAAATAAGGTGACGAACCCAAACTGAATAACTGTCAATGGAATGGACACACATCATGGAGTGGTGGGTGGATGGAAAGACAATATTTTCCTTTACTTTCATAAAGAAAGAGAAAGGCAAAGAACTCAATCCCAAAGAGAAAACACATCCGTGGTCAATAACACTTGTTGCTCAACAGTGAAACAATTTAAACAAAACACAAATATGAGCTTTCTGGAAAGATGATTAAATACAGCCTGTTTCTTGCACTTATATTCACTTAATAATAGGAATATGCTGAAAACTACTTAATCAACCCTAACTACTTTAATAAACCATTTAAAGTACATTATTTATTCTCAGTGTAGAGACAACAAAATGTTGGAAAATGATTTAAGATTAAAAAAGAAAAATGGTATGGAAGCATGAAACAAGAAATGTACTGTCGGGAAGGCTGTGCTCAGAGATGTTGGAGGAAACATGCTGAAAACAAGCAACTGAATGAGCTCCCCTAAGTCTGAGTGCAAAGGCAGAGCCTTCAGAGAATGTTATTACAAATCATAGAAAATATGTGTGGTCAAGGCGTTTCAACCACACATAATCCTCCTTTAGGAATCGTCCAGATGAAGTTGTTACAATCTATGGGTCCTGACACATCAAGAACCAGTGGAAGCTCAGAAGTTCTGTTCTCCTTTTCTGTAACTTATATGACCTTTGTATAGGAGGGGAGCAGAGATTTGGGGGGGGGGAGGAAGAAAGAAAAACCAAAGATCTAGAAAAGAAACTTTTGGTTTAGGGCTTTTCTTCTCACAGGCAGATCTTTAGAGGGAATGTGTACAGGTGTGGAATGGAGACTGGAGAACAGGAAAACATTATTTATATCCCCTTTCAGCATTTGCTCAGACAGGGATCAGGGACAACTCTGGCCAGGCCAGGTGAGGCTGCAGCAGGTGTGATTAGGTAGGAGGAGTTGGCATTTGCTTCTGGTCTAAGAGGCCGAGATCTGTTGTAGAAAGGTAGGGCTGAAAAGACAAGTCAGTCACACAGGCCAGGGAGAAGTGCTCATATTCACAGAAGTCGGACAAAGGGCCAGAATAGGTAATGTCAGAGTCGGCAGTGGAAGCAACATTAGTGATATCAGTGCTTGTGTCTGTGATTTACTTAAACCTCGATATACTCATCAGGCTTTGGGGCCAGGCAAGGACAAGAAATGTGGGGAGTGGGTCAGAGTCAACGGTGGTACATTGGCAAGTGTGTCCTACTGAAGGTGACCGCTCACAGCTGCCATGTTGGAGTGAGGGCCCAATGTTGCTAGATCTGATTGTTCAAGAAAGGCCAGAAATTAGGATTTTATTAGCAATAAATTCAGTTAAATATCCAGATAAGAAAAGATATCATTTATAACCATGAAAGCACAGACTACTTGAGAATAAATTAATAGGTAATGTTAAGACTTATGATAATTGACTTAAAAACAATGATGACTGAATGAATGGTAGGATATGCTAAGACTCAAATTTGGGATGTATCAAAATTTTCTCCACAGAATCATTTAGAATTCTAATGAATTCAGTTGATAATCCCAAATGGATTTTTTTTAAAGCCAAAAGGTTCAAGAGTTCAAGAGAGATAAATAGTTAAAAAGGAGGAGGAATGTTTGCCCTGACAGTATTAATACAGGACATTCTGAAAAATAATAAAATGAGAACAGCTCTAGGAGTTAGTAAARTATGCTGTAGTACTACTATAATTGAAACGGTGCAGAACTAGTGCATGAATAGATAGTAAGTATGAATTAAACAGAATGGTTTTAAAGAACAGATAAATATTCATGGGATTTACAATCAGCATTCAATTATTTGAGCAAGTAGCTAAGTCATTGGAAAAACTGGCATGGGGCTGTCACTTTTGACTCCCAAATAAATTCCTGATGAATTAACAATTTTATATTTTAAAAAGGCAAAAGAAAAACACCAACCCAGTGTGATCTGTTCTGATATTCAAATGAATAACTTTATAAGTGTCTTCTTAAACACCACCTCCAACAACAAAAAAACTAATCATTTCAGTAAGGCAAAAGCACCTATTTTTAAGACAAAAACAACCCCTCATGATCCTATGTTACTCTCTAATTCTTCCTTCTTCACTTTACAGTCAGGTTTCTTGAAGGAAGCATCCACTGTTCGTTCCTCCATCATGTATTCCCTCTTCGAAGCCCCCAAATCCTGCTGTGGTCCTCACCACTGCACGGGGCCTACTCTTGTCAACTTTGCACTGATTGCTTATTCCAAAGCTCAAGCACGTTCAACTCTGTTTATTTGATCACTCTTCAGTTTCTGACATGGTCAAATATTCCCCTCTCCATGGAACATGTTTTCCTTGACTTTTGTTTTACTTTAATTTTAAAAAGCAAGTCAAGTCATAAGAGGGAAAAAATAAAAACCTCTTAAAAAAAAKCACCCCCCACTATTCTAGCAATTAAGTAGAGGCTTCGGCTCTGACATTTTCTGCCTGGTTTTCATTATGCCCCTTTGTCATTATGGCTTTTCTGACACCAGCTACTTTCCCTATTCCCACCCTAAATATTCAGACTCCTGGAAGGTGTTTTAACAATTTTATTCATCATCTCCCCTACAAATCGCCTCTCTAACACTTATCAAACTTGTCTCCCTATCTCTATTGTAATGCCTATGTCCTCTGTTTGGGCTCTTATCACTTCTTGTCTGGGCTACCTGCTGCAGCCTTGTGGATTATCTTCCTCCCAACAAATATGGACCCCATCCAAAGGAATATCTTCTATTGCCAGTATAATCTGGTTTCCTTCAACATGACACAATTCTCTTATTTACCAGTATTCTAACAGATGGATGTTTCCTTAATAGTAAAGTTCAAGGCTCCTGGACAAGCATATGATAAGGTCCTGGCTTACCCGATTTTCCCAACTATGGATCCTTTGTTCCAGCCATATTTTGTCTACTTGTCATTCTTACAATGAATGTTCAGTGTTTGTGCCTTTTTACTTTAAAATGTGTCTACCCCTCCACATGAAACGTCTATTCCCTTCACCATACTTCAGATAACTTCCATTATCCCTTCCAAAAATCCAGTTCAAATATTATCTGCTCTGCAAGTCTGATTTGTAGTCTTCATAATATTTAGGGTGCTAAGCTCCATGAGGGTTGGAACCAAGTCTTACCTTGGTATCCCTAGTAATTGTTAAAGCGTTTGACACAAACTAGTGCTCAACAAGTGTTTACTGAGTAAACCATGAGATAGGAAGCCTACCAATCCTCCCCAGTTACCTAGCTGTCATTATGGAAAGCTCAACCTGCAGGTGGTAGACAGGAGGGCAGGCCTGAGTCTTGAAGGGTAGTGGGGGCTCTGGTGGGTATGGAGAGGAAGGGATTTGGTGCAAGGAGATGTGGAAAATCTGCTGACACTCATTGCCATAAGTTAAATGGAGAAAAAATAATATTGGTCAGAGTCATTGTTTTAATGACTTAAAAAACTTACTTGGAGATGGATCAAGTTAATACAGCAAGGTGAAAGAGGTAGTACCAGACACAGGTGGGGCTCACTTTGTCATTTTAGTGCACTTCACTATGGTCCCTTCCCCCTGGGAAGGTGTCCCAAATTGACGATAGGCTGGTTGTATTGTTGAGTACTCTAGGTACAGAATGATACCTATGGTTTCCAGATCTTAATACTGACAGACAGAAAACATAAAAGAAAAACAGTCTAAGTTTTCAGCGTCGGGACCAAACACTTTGAAATTATTTGGGAGGCAATTTTGGCTAACATCCCAAAGTTCCTCAAAGAGTGGTAGGAAATTCACTAAGAAATAAAAATTCCACTCAAATCACAGGCCTTGCCATACATAGTGTAATGGGTGGGGCAACATAAAGGTAAATCCACTAACGGTTGGAGAAATGCTCCAAAGTCACTTAAATATTTGTGACTACTAGGCTCCAGACTTGGGTGTTCCAAGGGAGGACTGAAAGACACAGAGGACTTGGTAGCCACCTCCAGTGTTATTGGTCCCACATGGAGAGAGGCATGAAGAGGATCATGGTAGCGAGTGCCAGTAAGGCCTAGAGGCAGGAAGCCACAAGGCACTGTGAAAAGTTGAGGGGCTCTGTGGATGCTCAGCAGGAATTGTTCAGGTAGAAAAGAAGGGAAAAGGGTGGTGGACTCCTGGGTCCTTGGYTGGAAGACGCTTCCCAAAGCAGCAGGAGCCCTAATTAGAAAGGTAGCTGGAGGCATCATTAGTGAACACGGGGAGACTGGGACAAAGCCGGCTGTGGTGGTGCGGCCGTTCCCAGAGGCTCTCGGTATTTATTTTTAGAGGAACAAAAAGAATTTCAAGTGCCTTGTGAATTGTATCTTCCACAGCCTAGAAGGACAAAAACCAGATTCACTCCACTGTTGAATATACAGTAACAGACAGCCTGTGCTCAGAAACTGATTACGTTTTCTAAGTTGTCTGGTATTATGTAGATAATTGGAAAACAACTGAATAAATCTAAAAACCTGTTTATAACAGCTGTGTTATTCTACCTTTTCTCCTAGGGAAGGACAAGGCCAAATCATTTAGTTCATAACTATTTTAATAAGCCTGTGAAAAACTAAAAGTCTTATCAACTCCCTAAAGCACGACTATATCACTTTTCTTCTCAACACATTTATTTGATTAATCACCACAGAAAAATAACTTTGTTTTTCTAAGTTTTCTTTTGGGAGGGAGGTTAAAATAACAAATGATATTTTACATCAGAATGTTGTTGTTATTAATGCCGATAATGGCTCCAATAAGAAATATTTATAATTATGACTCATTTTGAAATAACGGGTAATTGTCTTACAGGACTTTTGAAAGTAAACAGAATGAATAAATATAGCTTCTACATTATGTACTGCAGCTACACCCTTAATAAAACCTGAGTACAAAGAACAAGGAAAACAAAAAAGAAATTCAAATTAGACCCTGGGCTGCTGCAAAATATTGTTGACTGAAGAAGCCACAAAATGAACCTTTTTACTCACTGAAGAAAGCAGATGTGTTTCCATGTATAATGTATACTTTTGAAAGCAATTATTTTATACATAGGATGTGATTTAATAAAATCCACCCTCRATCTGCAGACTTGTAAATAGGAAATACAAAAGGGTGTCCTTGCCAACACACAAACTCCTATGCATAAATGCAAGGCCTGTCAACTAAAATTTTGTGCCTCTTTTTCTATTCTCCTAGCTTTAAAAAAACCTGCAATTCAATGCAGTGGTTAGCTGCAAGGGCAAACATACAAAACATGTAAATTGTTAGCCATCTATTAGATATGTGTGTCATGCATCCATTTAAAGGAAACTGAGAACTCAAAATTAGGTTAAACCTGAGAAACTGAGACCAAAAATACTCAAAGGCAAAGAGTTTCAGGAAAGAAAAGGGAGGGCCTGTGCTAAAGTAATCTTAATTCCACACCAGCAGAATGGTTTTCCATTTCCGAGGTCAATCAAGAAACCAAGTGGAAACCACTGARTTGAAATAGATATGCTGTCCAAGACAGGAGCCAGGTATGAAAGGAGGACCTGGAATCCTCTCTGTGGTGAAGCTGCAAGCTCCTAGAAGCTTTTTCTTTTTCTAATTTGCTGAGGACCTCGCCAAGAGGTGGAGACTGGCCTCGAACTTAGGATCAGAAATGTGTATTGGCTATCAGCTGTGCCTGCATGGACTTCAGCCCAAGCCAAACTACAACTAATGATATTTGCTGAGTTTCTCAGACAACATGGTTAGAGGGCTTTGAGAATTAATGGTGAAGAAGGACCTCAATGAATACTCCGTTTCATTGGATAGTAATAATCTATATCTTCAAACATAAATATTAACAAAGACACACACAGCCACCTTATTTAAAAAGCTGATTGCRTAATTTTACCAAGCAGAGGAAAAACATACTCCTCTTCATTTCAATATGCTAAATAATTATTTGGCTCTATAACAGATGTTTTTGGACTTTAAAACATGCTCCAACGTATTTTATATCACTTAAAGCTTCATAAACAACTTACTCATTTCAAGATACTCATAAAATAATCCCAGCTTGCCCATGGGCTGCAGATGGTAATCCTGTTCCCATCGTGGGGTTTTCTTTTCTGATCCTGAAACACTGTGGTACCGTCCAATTAGATTCATGATCCAGCTGCCAAAGAGATCAATTATAATTAGATTGTTATTAGATGAAGGTCATAAAAGTATTTCACTGCAATTTGAAATCTGAACATGTATTCTTCCCAAGAAATTGATTTCTTGTTTGAATATCATATTTCTTTTTATTTCTGTCTTCCTACTCCCCAAATATTTATCAAAATTGTAACTGCCTGCTTTTCCTCCGAGTCTTCACGTGGAAGGTTTAAAAAGATATTTTTCTTCATTTGATCAACTTCAGTTTTTTCTTGTTTTTTACTTCCTCTCATTCATAATGGTCTTTCCAATATGGACAGAATATGTGAGTTGGCAATAAGTGCTATGGAGAAAAATAAAGCAGGACCAGGACTGTTTCCAGGGAGGACTGGTGTGGTGGAGGATAGCCGGAGTGATATTTGAACAAGGACACGGGGGAGGTGGAGGGTAAAGCAGCAGAGGCAAGGGCTTCCTGAAAGAGAAACAGTGACTGCAGACACCCAGAGTCAGGAGCAGACCCCCACCTGGGAATACAGCACGGAGGAGGCTCCTGTGGTCCAAGGTTAGTGGGAAACGGGGTCTAAGAGATTTCCACTGTGAGCATTTGGATGGTTTTAATTCTGAGGGAAGTAGGGAGCCACTGAAGGGCACTAAGCAGAAAAGTGACAAATTGACATTAGATGATATAGCTCTCAYTAGATAATATGGGACTACACAGTAAGCCGAACAATTTAAGGACCTGAGAAGTGCAATGCCCCGTTGAGGTCATAGGCAGAGCTAGGAGAAGCAGCTCTGCCTAGTACAGGGGTCCACCCTCACAGAGCCTTTCCTCTTAGATGTCATGTTTTTCTTTCTGAAAGCCTTGTGGCCCAGATCAACGCTTTCCCACTTTTAATGGCAATTTTTTTTTWAAAAAAATATTATTTTAGTTGTAGGTATACACGATGAACTTTGTTATTTTTATGTGGTGCCGAGGATCAAACCCAGAGCCTCGCATGTGCTAGACGCGCGCTTTACCACTGAGCCACAATCCCAGCCCTTTAATGGCAATTTGCCCTGAAARGAAATCTTAGTTGACAGTACAATGAGGTGTGCACGTAGTATAAAGAACCGTTGTCCCCTCCAGCCACAGCCAGCTTGTGGTCGACTTRTGGAGTTCATCAGAAGAGGCGCCGTAACAAGAAGCAACTTCAAGTACACATAGAACATCTGGCTAAGCTTTGGCTGATTTAACAACAGGTTTGTGTGAATTTCAAATTCTGACAAAGCGGAGGCCTCTTGGGACTATAAAAAGTTGCTGCAAGAAACCACACAGACCATCATGCTCTTCCTCGTGAGTACACACTGCTCACACACASGAGCCAGACTAAGACAGGACTGAGGTGCTCTCTGTGCTGGGATTCCCACTGCCACCCATCCCAGCRCTAACTCGGCCTGCACACTACCCAGGCCCTCCTCAGGGGAGATGCTGTGCCATGGAACATGGCCCCGGCTTCACAATCTTTCCCCATTTGTATTTCATTGATTAAAATCATGGAGGCAATAGGGAGCTAAAGAAAGTGGAAGGGATTTGATTCAGATAATCCTGAATCTGAACCCATATTCATCGCTTACTAGCTATATTTACTTTGGTAAAGTTAAAAGAAAATAAGGTGATACTTCCATCATGTTTGGTGAGATGCTTGCACCCCTCTGGTGTAATATAAAATAGAGTGGCCACTTTGTTCTCAGTTCTTGGAGTATTTACAAAGGGATGGATTTGCTAGGTACCGTGGTGATTCTATGCAATCAGTACGGTGGTTCCCCCAAAACGGAACAGTTATTCAAACACACACTTACACATCAATATTCTTAGCAGCACTATTCACAATAGCCAAAAGGTGGAACCAACCCAAATGTTCATCAGTGGCTGAGTGGGCCAATTAAACACCGATTCGATGGAATAATATTCAGCCATGAAAAGGGATGAAGTAATGCTATGCCATTCTCAAAAGGATTATTCTAGGTGAAAGAAGCTAGATGAACCAGTCACATATTGTATGATTGCATTTGTACTAAATGGTAGACCAGGCAACTCCATTAAGACAGCAAGCAGATTAGTGGCTGTCAGGGTTGGGTGGGGGGATGAGGAATGAGCAGGTACCACATTTACTTTTGGAGTGAGGAAAATGCTTTAGAAATGGAGGTGATGGCTGCAATAAGTTTGTGAATGTTCTTGATACCACTGAAATGTAGAACTGGTGAATTTTATTTGTTTTTGTGTGTGAATTTTAAATGATAACATAAAATTCACCATTTAATTTCATGTGAATGTTGCTACAAATAAAATAATTCATACTTAAATATAAAAAAAAAGGAAGGTGATAAAACATACATTGTCCAGGGCTGCTGTCAGGATTAAATGATTCAAAACAGGTYAAGGCTTTAAAACATTTCCTAACACACCCATGGCCCCTGTATGGGATTTCCTGTTGACCATCACAGGCCACATTGGCTGAAGCCCACTGAATATCTGGCCTCCATCACTGGGAATCTTGGCTTGGGTATGCATGGCCACCTGGACCAGTGGTTCTCATTTCAGTACTCAGAAGAGGGATGTGGAATGCTTGCTAACAGTGCAGCTTCCTGTACCTAAAGCCAGGGAACTGAGGCACGTCCCGGGATCTGCAGTTTTACAGCCACCCCAGGGACCTTGTAACACAGCCAGTTCTGAGATCCACATATGCCCACCATCCTTCATGACACCTAATCTCAAGGTTATTTTTTTTTTTATTGACATATTTTTTTGCTCTCCCTCCCTTCCAACCTCAGTCTCCTGAGTCTTCTCCATGTCCCCAGAGAAGCAGATATTTCTCTGTATGGCCCCAAATCCATCATCATTTGGATTCAGATGAAGCTTTTACCTTGTTGCATTACTAACTCATCTGGTGCTTTCAAGCCTACTGCTCTGTCTCCCCACTCATCCTGGATCAGATGACAGGTATTTCCAACTAGTTTTCTTTTCTAGCTACACACTCTGAGCCTCTTGTTAAGCTGAAYTACTCATCTGTAGAAGCTTCTACCCACTGTTTCCCTGAGTCTTCTGGGTTTTCTAGTRGACTGTATCTCTAATACTGTGTTTCAATCTTGACTACCTACACATGAGAATCACTTAYAGAACTTTTAAAAATAGCCAGAGGGGAGAAGATCTGGTATAAGGCTTTTAGAAGTAGGGCAGTGGTTACAAAAGAATTTCTTTAAAAATTTTCTATGTATGTTAGCCTAACCTCATTATAATAATCTGCCCTTTACTTAGTACTTATGTAGATGTGATGCACATTATAGCTTTCTTTTGGACTTTATCATAATTAACCCACCTACTAAACATAGTTACCTATTCTGYTTAGAACATTCTACAGTGTTCCTTACTAAGCTTCAAAGACAAGCATCCCTTACTATCTGAATCTATTTCATGCCTGAGTTCACTGTTCTTGAATTTAAAGGGTAACTATGGGTAGTGAAGGCTACCTGCATTTAGCCTCCTCTGATTRTATGTCTCTGGAGCATCCTATAGCTAGATCACATCTTGCAAAAGGATACYTTTCCCTGTGTTTCATTTCTCTTATTAGTGGTGAATACTTACTGTAGAAAACATAGAAAATATGGAAAGGAAGAAAATTATAATCATCCACTATCTAAACATCAAAAGACACTAATGCCATATGCATTTTGGATGTTTAATTATTTTCCTCAACRTGTTACCATAAAAATTTTCAGAGTAATTTGCTTAACACAGGAATTGTACTAGCTTTTTTTTTTTTTTTTCCAAGTATAGAATAAAGCAAATTCCCAGGAATGTCTCAAATAAGTGGTGCTTAGAAGGCCAAAGGGCTCCGAGTTTGTTCTGTGGTTTACTGATGCTCTGTACCTGAAGCATTTGAGGCACTTATCCATCTGATGGTTCATGCCAAGTGCCTGCTCAATGCCAAGGTCCAGTCTATGTATGAGAGACCCCATAGGGAACGTGGCCACAGTGCCAGATATGCTATTTCTCTGGTTCCAATTTTCTTAGTCAAATATATTTCACTAWTTTCCTTTTGACATATTAACTTGACATGAAAACAGCTGCTGACTTAGAAAGGAAAGAAAAGCCTTACGTCTATTTTTGGGGTGAGTGTAATCCTGGGAAGCAAGGATGACTGTTATATCGTTGACATGCTAGGATTTTGTACAAACAATTGTAAGGAGAAGCCCCTCTCTAATTTGGCTAACACTTGGCATTCCCAGCTTTTAAACGAAGGAGGAGATCATTTAAAACATACTAAAGAAATTCTTTAGATCAGCAGTAGAAATATAGAAAGGTCACTGTAATTTTTAACAATGGACCTACTTGAAATGAAAATATAAACAGGCCGTACAGACTATAAATCATCTTTTATTTAAAAAACATCCCCTGTGAACAAGTTTCATTTTGTATGAATTTCTCAATACTAAGTTTAGGAAATCTACCCTCCCCACTACATTTTCAAATTGGAGAATAGTTCACTACTGAACAATTAATTATCAAAACTTGGGGTTAAATAATTAATATGCTTGGCTTAGAAAATGCTTTTTAATAATGTAAGAATAAGTTAAGACTTTCCTTTGTTTCTATGTGAAAATAAATATAAAAATAAACATAGTATTATTTGTGCACGACCTACTTTTACTTATCTGGAAAAATCTGAATATTAACTGAATGAAAGTAAGGGTTGTTTTCTGCACAGTAGGATTATAAAATATTAATTTCACAGCTAAAGCCAGAATCCCTTTCTGGGAAAKGGGTGGGAGAAGGGGAAGGTGAGATATTTTTGTTTAGAGAAAGACTCTGGAGGTTCACCCTGAAGATGGTGGAGGAAGAAATCCAGAAGGATGTACTGAAACCCAGTGTCAGTTAGCACTGCCCAGGAGGATGGACGGAAACCTGACTGGGGGAAGTGGGGAGAAGGAAGAAAGTTCAGGAGAGGGAGTTGAATGTGATGGGGAGATAGAGCAGAATGACGRGAGGCTGGAGAAAGAAGTATGGTAAATTTAAGACCTTGGTTGCAGAGTGGTATAAGGAATTTTTAAAAAGCTGCTTCTCAGCAAAACAATCAAAAGCATGAAGAGAGAGACTATAGAATGGGAGAAAATCTTTGTATATCCTGAAAATTAACACCTTATCTGAGGTACAGGTGGCAAAGCACTCAAAGCTTAACTCACACACACACCAATCAATAAATAGGCAAAGGAACTAAACAGATACTTCTCAAAATAAAACACATGAATAGTCAACAAATATATGAAAAAGGTGTTCAATATCTCTGAGATTTCACCTTATTCTAATCAGAATGGTAATTATCAAGGATGTGGGGAAAAGTACACTAATACATTGCTAGTGAGACTGCAAATTGGTGCAACCATTCTGGAAAGCAGTATGAAAATGCCTCAAATCTAGGAATGGAACTACCACTTGACCCAGTTACATCACTCCTTGGTATCTATTCAAAGGAGATAAAATCAGCATACTACAGTGACACAGCCACACCAATGTTTACAGGAGCACAATTTACAATAGCTAAGCTGTGGAACCAACCTAGATACCTATAAATAGATGAATGCATAAAGAAATTATGGTATATAAACCCAATGGAATATTAGCCATCAATAAGAATGAGTTTATGACATTTGTTGGTAAGTGGATGGATCTGGAGACTATCATGCTAAGTAAAATAATCCAGTCCCCCAAAAGCAAATGTTCTCATATGTGGATGCTAACAAACAACAAGGAAGAGGGGTAAGAGTAGACGTTCAGTGGATTAGGCAAAGGGAAATGAATGGAAGGGATGGAGATGTGAACAGGAAAGAGGGTGGAATGAATCTGACATAACTTTCCTGTGTGCATATATGAATTCCTGTGTGCATATATGAATACACCACAGTGAATCTCAACATCATGTACATCCATAAGACTGGGATTCTAATTAGAATAAGGTATATTCCATGTTTGTATAAATATATCAAAATAGATTTTACCATCATGTATAACTAAGAAAAACAAACAAAAAATAATTAAAAAATAAAGGGGGAGGTTTATTAAATTTCAAAATGTAAGTTGTGTGAGTTTCTGCCTTCATTCTCCAAACATCAGTAAAGCATGCTTGTTGGAAGTGATTTTTGGGAGATACTAGGGAGAGGGCTGGGCATACTCTCCATTTGGGTTGACATGGAATAGAGAAAGGTACAATACACAGGAGGGAAGACAGAAGAGAGATCTAAAGTTTTAGAAGAGCAGAAACTATCCTGGAAAAATAAGTGTCAGGGAGAATAATGGTCCTCCCAAAGATGTTACCCTCCTATTCCATAGAATATATGTATGTGTTAAGTTCCCTGGTTAAGGAACAGGGAGATCATCCTAGATGATCCTGGGGATCCAATATAATCACAAGGGTCATTAAAAGAGAGAGAAAGGGGAATAGGATAGACGGGAAACACTGCTGGCTTTGTGGATGGAGAAAAGAGGTCACAAGCCAAGAGATATGGGTAGCCTCTGGAATCTAGAAAAGGCAGAGAAAGAGATTCACCTGAGACTTTGGTAGGAAACATCCCTAGCAACACCTTGATTTTAGCTTAGACGGCTGACTTCCCAGACTATAATAACTTTATGTCATTTTAATCAATTTTGTGGCAATCCATTGCAGCAGCAAAAGGAAATGAATAGAACAGGCTCCCTGAAGTTCTCAGAGAATGCAGATGGCACTTCAGTGAAAATTTAGGACAGTACGATTTGTGCTAAGGTCTTCAGTATAGCTATAGCTTGTTCTCATTTTCTTGAGGGGGGGGGAAACAACCAGTTAAGTCAAAACCTTTGTGGTTATTATTTTGAACAATTATCTCTTAAAGCATTATAGGTGTATCCCTGTGCCTTAGGAAGACAAAAGAGAACTTGTTTATTTTTTGATGTCCTGGGGGTTGAACCCAGAGCTTCAGGTATAGCAGGCAGGCCCTCAACCACAGAGCTACACMCCAGCCCTGAACTCYTTGAAAGCACAAGAATTTGCAGACATAGTGTCCTGGTATGGAATCCTATAGTAACTTCTTATTGCCCCTGTGAACTTGGGTAAAATATTTAATCTCTTTAAGCTATAAATTTTCACTGCAAAAGGAAGATAAAATAAGAATAGTTTAAAAATTAAGTGAGAAAAATATAAAGCATTCTACTGGCGCTAATAATTCAACAAATCACTATTTAATGACTTTAAAACATACATAAAGGGAAGGGAGGAGGCTGCTGTGAAAAGGTGGGGTAATGCGTAGTTCACATTCTAAGGAAGGGCTTCGCTCTGTGGCTGACTAATCGCAGCCTCTCTGACAGTTTCTTAAACAAGGAAGAAAGTTTTACATACTTATCAAACATTTTTGATACATATGAACTGTTGGACTATCCTGCCCAAAGACCTTTAATAATAGATTCTAATCCATTTGAGAGGTGGACATGCAGCTATGTGACTGTGTAGGTAAATTATTTCATCAGGTAGGCTGACAGACCTTCTGCCTGTTACCCAAGAAGCGACACTATCTGATACTCACGGAAGCAAGACTTCTTGTATGTTATTCCAGATTGCTTTTCCACCCATGATTATTATCAGTTGAGTAGTTAGTTCAAGGAGACAGCCACCTGGGTCACACTGGAATGTTAAAAATCTCATTTAGATTATATTCCCAGTTAAACCCATCTATAATCAGTAATTTTATTTTTCTGATATTCTGTGTAGGCTAAAAACATCTTTAAAGAAAAGGAAACAAGGAGGAGAGCTTGGGTTTTAGTTCAGTGGTAGAGCGCTTGCCTAGCACATGTGTAGGCCCTCCCTGGGTTTGATCCTCAGTACCACATAAAGATGAATAAAATCAAGGTACTGTGATCATCTGCAACTAAAAAATATATATATTATAAAAACAACRAGGAAATTGTTTTTAGGTAACAAAACATGAAGCAGCTTAAACTGTAAAAAGAATACAATTCTATTTTCATACCTCTTCATTTCTGTACTTTCCCAGCCAATACACTGGGTCTCCTGGGTAGCCTACGAATTTCCCCTTAAAGAATGCTATGTAGAAGCATGAAGAATAGTAGTTGACAAACTGGAATAAGAACATCTTCATGGTTAGGCTGTTCTCATAATCAGTCTGAGTCCTTGGGAGTTCTGTCGTTAAAACAAAACAGAAAAGAGATTTTAAAATTGTGAACAGCTTTGAAACTCTAATCCAAAACACTCATACATGAGTTAACATGTTGGGGGAAAAAATACAATTCACACTGTTTTCATTTAAGCTGTTTTCAATTCCTTAATATAGCCACCGTGTTAATTCCAAGTTTACACATTGTTAGGAGAGTTCTCACCACAGAATGCAATATCTCACGTGACAAAATGTGTGTGTGTGTACGTACACATCAGCTTTTTTTTTTCAATGATTTCTTAAAATTCACAAGTACTATGTTATCAAATGGATGAGGACTATCTCAGCTGTAAACTAATAGAACATTACTTTTTAATTGCCTGCTGAGTAATAATCTTTTGTCTTCCTGAATTGCTGTAAGGTAGGTCTGCTGAACACAACCACAAAACAAGGGGCATGTGGGGAACACAAAACAGGTCATCCTTCTAGTTTGGAATCTACATCAGTCTGATTGAATGGACTAAGTAGTCATCTAAGAACAGAGAAGGACCCAGATGTATACAGGGTGTGGAAAGCACTCAACTCTGACCACTAAGCAGCTGCCTGGGATACAGCCAGGGGGAAGAAACACTTATTTCAAAATGCCAAGCATTATATTAATATGAACAGCACGGGAGAAGACGGCAGCAGTGCGATTGCTTGTCCTCTGCACAATGAGMGTATTTGCCACTGGGACCATGACCTTATTCTACTTATTTGCAATAAAGAGACTATTTACTTTCAACAATAGAGTACATGATCTAATGTAATTGAAAATATTATTCAGCACTGATCTGTTTACACAGAGCTTGGACAGTATCATTATACTGTCTTTGCTTTGTCTCTCTTACTAATACAAAGCCGTTGATAATTCTTTTCCCATACAGGCTAGAGAAAATGTTTATGCTTGAAATTTTCTAAAAATTGTAACCTCCAAGAATTGAAATGGATAAGAGATTTAGTCTCTACTTTTAGCAAGGTTCTAAAAATGTCTCAAAAATTGCCTGAGCTACGGYAGGACCTTACCAAAATTAGTAATCATGATGGCCACTTTTTCATATATGGTGTTCAGAATCATGATGATGATAAAGCTGATGATGGACGCAGTGACGGACGTGGCTGTCTGTGGAGTCAGGTACTTCTGGATTGGGTCTGTCCCATTGATAGCACTGGGAAGTTTTGCAGAAAATACAATAAACACTGAGAGCCGATAGACAATGATTCCAATAACCGAAGCGATGATCAACAGGATCTGAAAGCACAAAAAACAGCAGCGTGAGACTCACCAGTGATCAGATTTTTACTGTTAAAAACTGGCATATTATTTACAAGGTACTTGCGTAAAGTGAAATAAATCTCACAAGTGCCACAAGTGGAGGAAAGTAGGGCATGAGAAAGGGAAAAGAATGATGAACATAGAAAGTGAGTACACCCACATATAAGATGTTAACAGGGGCTGGGCGTGATAGCGCACCCCTATAATCCCAGCGGTTAAGGAGGCTGGGACAGGAGAATCGCAAGTACAAAGCCAGCCTCAGCAACAGTGAGGTGTATGCAACTCAGTGAGAACCTGTCTCTAAATAAATACAAAATAGGGCTGGGGATATGGCTCAATGGTTGAGTGCCCCTGAGTTCAATCCCTGGTACCCCTCCAAAAAAATATGTTAACAGGGGAATGTGCACAGGAGTGAAAGGGGATATGAGAACTTGCTGTACTTTCTACAYAATTTTCTATAAACCTAAAAATTGCTCTAGAAAAAAGTCTATTAAAAAGAGTGTTCTCATCAGACAGCATAAAATTGGAATAACTAGTGGCATGTTAAGGTAGAAGGAAAAAGTGTCTGTGATCATAGAACCAGTGAAAACATCCCTTCTGGGGTTGGGGTTGTGACTCAGCGGTAGAGCGCTCACCTAGTACATGTGAGGCCTTGGGTTTGATCCTCACACAAAAATAAATAAATGAAAGGTATTATATCCAACTACAACTAAAAAATATAAAAAAAATCTTCTATAATTAATGACTTAAGTTAGAAATTTGTGGGGTTTTGCTAGTAATACTCCATTAAGAAGATGTGATTTCTTCCAACAGAGAACCTGTCACCAGCTCAAAGGTAAGCAGGTACTATCTTCTGTTTTAAACATAGAATCAAGGGAGGTTCTGGACAGGCCATGAAGCTGGCCCAGAGGTGCCCTGCATGAACTGTGTCTGCCGACAAAAGCTCCTTGGGCTTTCCCTAGTCGGGTTTCAAACTGGCAGTTGTTCACGGCTGCATTGCCACAGATTTTTTTCACTGCTGCTCTGCATTTCTGACTTAGTCCAGCATCCATGCAGGTATCTGAATCATACTTTGTACGTAAAAGCATTTTGCCTTCTCAGTAAGCTGATTTTCTCTGGTCACTGAATAATGTACATTAAAGGCCCCATGAATYTTCTCCTCACTTGATACCTTTCCAACAATGTCTAATACTGTGTATCTTTAAACTGTTTTCCACACATCTGTTTTATTGGATAGATTCCAGAATCATGTCTGCTCATGAGGCATGTTCCCAAAAAGAAAAGACACAGAGAATGGAAACTTCAGGACCAAGTAAATCATGTCACAATGTAGTCAGTAACAGAGGGAGGCTGCTTTCACCTGCAGGGTACAGTACAGGGAGTGACTATAGGATGGTGCTGCAGTCATCTTGCCACCATAAGGCGGTACCCTGACCCAGCACACTGGCAAGTCACCTGAGACAGAAGGAAGACAGAACATAGACTYTGATGCTATTTGGGCAGAAGTAGCTCCCCTGACTAAAGCCACACTTCCAACTTGGAATTTTCAGCTCGAGAACCAATGAATCCCACCTTCCCCCATTTTGTTTTGTTTAAACCAGCTAGAGATTTGATTTTTGTCACATACAATTGAAAGACTTAACTATAAAAACAAAGAAAAATAGGAAAATTCACCTACTCTTCACATGGGCATAATTCAAACCACTTTACATATTTTATCCTTTGTTCAAAATTATAAAAATGCCTATGGTTTATGATGTATCATAAAATATTTCCATGAGTGTGCTTTTACATGACTGTACAATATTCTATATGGTGGGTTTGAAGGTAGGACACCTGGTTGAGATATATATTCATGTGTGAATGTGTGTATAAAATGTTGTGATAGATGTCCGAAAAAATCTTACTTTACTTGCCATTTTGAAGTATTTGTTGATTACAAGTTTCTAAAATCCTAAATTAGTGAATTGAAGTATGAATATTCTGGGGACTCTTGATACGGATGGCCTCACAGCTTACTAGGAAGGCTGAAGCAATGTAAAACCCAGGACCCCAACATAAGAGTGAGTGATTCTGCACATTATCCTTACAGACTCTTAGCCTTGTTTGAGAGGCAAAATATTGTATCTCATTTTAATGTGTACTGATTTAATTACTATTGGGTTTTAATAATGTAGTTACTAAAGAAAATAATCAATGTTCTCTCTTTTGCTACTAGATTTGTGTGTTCTCTGGATTCTGTGTATTAGAGGTATTAACACTGTGCCCCTTCACAAATATTTCTTCTGGTGTTTTGTTGAAATTTGTATGAAAATATTTAGATATTTTCCTCTAAAACTTCTTTATATTTTAAGTATTTATTTCTAACTATGGTTTAACACTTTTAAAAAGTGTTTTGGGAACTTATTATAGTGTGTGGTTCAAGATATGGCTTTAACCTTCCTCCAATAGTTAACAAGTATTCTATTACCATTTATTGCATGATCTCTACTTATCCCATGGATTTATAATGTCTCCCTTCTGATATATTAAATTACTGATACCAGAACCTATTTTTGGGCTTCATGTCCTATCCTCTAATCTGCTTTTCTTGAGCCAATAAAACTCCCACTAAATTATATTACTAGTATGTTTTTATGAATAATAAATCCAAAACTAATTTAATAAGTTCTGGCATTATAGAAACACTGTCCTTTCATCTAAAATTATTTTTTAAGACTTCTTTCATGTCTTCCAGTAGTTTTTTTTTTAAGTTCCTATTCTCTTTCTGCTAAGGATATCCCTCAACATTTTATTTTAGTTGTTGACATTGAAAGTCAGAATTCTTAATGCCTCCCATTTGGTCTCTTTACTAGAAACTGGAAAATACTGAACCACTGGCCTGATTTAAACAAATGAGGAAGGAGGAACTAGAAGAACCTAGCTAMGCTGTCCCTACAAGTATCTCCATGAGGCCATATAGTTTCTAGGCTTTAGTTTCCTTGATATTTAATATTAGACACTGAAAAGTGTGTTATGTAATAAATTACTCAAAAAAATTGTGTGTGTGAGAGACAAATTCTTACCCAGAAAAGGACAGCACTTGCACAGAGGGTTATCCTTATACACTTTCCCCAGGCAGTGAAAGGAATACGCTCTTCTTCCTAAGGAAGAAAAAAGTTAAGGGGATTACTCTAATACAATTACTTTTCCCCAAATCTGTTGGTAAATCTTAATTTTTTAAATAAATTGATTCATAAGCATTGTCTATTCATGATTGAACATTTTTTGTTAATAATTTCAAACAGACACACAACAAGGCATGTGCAGTGTTTATTTTTATAACCGTGTTTGGAAAACGTAAGCATGAGTAATAAACTGCTTTCCTGCCATGACCTGTACTTAGGAATCTAGGCACCTGTCAGTGCCAACCMGTAAAGCTGACATTGCTGGGCTTGTCTTGGATTTTGAAAATGACTGACAGCACAGAGCCCAGGGGAAAAAAAAAAAAAAGTATCTCTAAATACTAGGTATCCAGTGTTTCTTGGTTGAGCTTTATATATTAATATGAATTTTTAGAGAGTTTCCATTTTATACTTAAAAAAACTTTTTTTTTAGTTGGAGATGGACACAATACCCGTATATTATTTATTTTTATGTGGTGCTGAGGATTGAACCTGGTGCCTCACATGTGCTAGGCAAGTGCTTTACACTGAGCCACAGTCGCAAACTCTCCATTTTATACTTGATAAGAATAAATTTAGATTCTTAAGAAATCAATATTCTTCATGATTTACCTGGATTATAAAAGTACCAACAGTATAATAGCTGCAAATACTCACATGGTGTGCACTCTGTGCTAGATACTATTTAAAGTGGGTTTTACACATAAACTCGATTGCTTCTTACCACAGTGATACAGAAGTAACTCTATTATCCCCATTTTATAGATGAGGAAACTTAGGTACAGAGAAGTTTAGTAATTTGTCCCAGATCACCCAACTAGCAAGTTGCTGTGTTCATGCCAGGATTCAGGCAGTCTCATGCCTGAGACTTCACCACTGGACCATAGCCTCTCTAAACCAGTGCAGGATACACTGACAACAAAAATAAAATGAGGAAGAAATATAGAGGAAAGAGAAGTTTCAATTGCAATTTCTTAACAAGCAACATTTCAGTGGAAATTTGACTTGTTATATTGTTGGTGAYTTTAAATATAAAATTGATAGGTTTAAATGACCACATTGTCATTAGTATTTTTCAGCATCCACTTTATGAACATCTAATTTTGTCTAAGTATCAGCTTTCCTTTCTGAATATATAATCTTTCAATACATGCTTTGACCCGTCCGTCTTCTCTTGTAAACGGCAGTAACTATTCATAACAGGGATTATTTGAAGCTTGTTACATTGTAAGAGACAAATGTCACCTTCTATTCATAACTGAACCTCATTTTTTTCCCACTTATGAGGTTGAACTGCTCCCTCCAGTCCCTTTTAGTGCCAACATTCTGTAAATCTCTGATTCAATTTATGAAATCTATAGTTGGATGTTCTCAGCTGCTCTTGGTGAAAGCATTTTCTTCCCAAGAGCTATTTGTATTCTGAACCTACTGTCCTAATGCTGATGACTGCAAGCACAATAAGCTCTAAACTTCCTGTGTTGATGGAAAGAAGCAATAATGCAGAAGACTCAAAAGTCACTTTCCAAGAGCTTTGGCATATATACAGAGAGATCTATAGTTTTATTTTTTATCTCTGCAGCAGTAGTGATAGTAGCGAATCTACCTCACCAATGATATAAAATGCCTAGCAAGGGACCGGACATGGTTGAACCTCAATTAATGTTTCTCTTCCTCATTCATCCTTTTTTCTGTGCATGTCCCGACCAGAAGGTGGAGTAGAAACTAAGGCTTAGTGCAAGATGAAGGGGTGGCTAATTTAGGATGAATAAAGGACTATAATGAAGTGCATGTGAAAAAATGAGAAACAACTATCAAATCCAAAGCACCTTTCCTGTCACAGTCTAATTTCCTTCTGGCATTTTAAACTTTATTACAAAAGAAAGGACAATATTTGTCCCCTATATTCACTGTTTCAAGTATCTTCATCCRGGCTGAGCATCAGAATCAATTATAGGAGCTTCAAAAAAAAAAAAAAAATCTCAAACACACTCAGGCTACTAAGTACTGCCAGAGTATGTGGTGATACAACTCGGGCATCAATATTTTTAAAACTCCTCAGGTGATTCCAGTGCACAGCYACTGCAGTAAACAGACTAAACTGCATTTAAACGGCATCGCCCTTACCTGGGTAATCTCGTTTATTACCACGTGAGTACACTGTGCTTCGTATTCTGGCCGGGGTTGTTCTTCCTGCTGTAACTCAACAGTGTCCCATTCATACTCAAGTTCTGCCTGGCGCCGCTTCCAGAACTCCAAAAATAAGGTAACTAACGAAGGAAGAGAACAGGATCATGTGGATCCTCGATGATGAGTGATGTTTAAGAAATCCATACTGAATAATAGTTACCCATAACACTTTGTATATAATAAACAGAATATAATTTATAGGTGATACTGGTATTTAAAAGTAAAAAAATAATTTCTTTTACAGAAAACAATAACTTACACAAATTATGAAGCAGACTAGCTTATGGGAAAGGTATTAGGAGGGCAGCTACTAATGCTCTAATACCAGCACTTTATTGACCACTAAAAACACAAATAATATTGTAATTCCAAAGCAGTTCATGATCCATCCTTCAATCTGCTTTTCCCTACATCCCTTTCTCTCTCGATTCCTCCCTTCCTATGAGGTTTGGGGAGAAGGGAATGTGTTAGTGCTCTCCAAATAAGTTAATATAATATTCTTCCATGTGGAAAGCTAATTTTCTCTCAATTTTGTATAAGTATGAACAAATTTTTCAGAATCATTTTTCAGAATTTGTAACTCAGAATACTAAATAAAAACATTAAATGTCAATTGAAGATGTAGTTTCAAGGTAAATTTCCTTGACCCTTTCTGACTGCTACCCTTAAGTGCTTCCTGTATAGAAATTCTGAAATGACCACTGTTCTATTCACAAACACTTTTCAATTGTTGACTATTTGCAGAGAATAAAGAGAAACAAGACAGTCCCTCTTAAAGGAGCTTCTAGGTACGTGGGTGTGACAGGTGCTGTAGACTCTTCAGAGGGCCATGACAAAGGTGAGTACAGTTAGAATGTCTATCTGTCCTTTCTAGGAGAGGGACCATTGTGTTGAGCCTTGGGATGACTGAGCTGAGTGGGTAAAAGTGGTGGGAGGTGGAGAGTTGGAGCAGCACATGAAAAGGCAAGGAGGAGCTGGGCATGGTGAAGCACACCTGTAATCCTAGTGAGGTTGAAGCAGGAGGATAGCAAGTTCAAGGCTAAGCTTCAGCAACTTAGTAAGACCTTCAGCAACACAGTGAGATCTGCTCTCAAAATAATAAAAAGGATTGGGAATATAGTACTAAAGKGCCCCTGGGTTCAAATCCCGGTACAAATCAAGACAATGAGGCCAGAATCCCAGGACAAATGGTAGGGTTTTAAGTGTTGTGACACCCAAGGTAGGCAGCCAGGTGGGAGAACTGCTAGGGAGCATTTCAAAGGGCTCTGTGTACCTGAAAGAGTTGGGATCCGAACCTAAAGGGACAGTTACACAGAAGGTGGTCTAGAGTGAAATTGAAGGAGGGAGACTGGCTGGCAGGCACATGATAAGGCAGCATACTTGAGGGATCCTGAGCAGGCAGAGAGAAGGGGCAGGAAGAGGTCAAGGATGCCAGCCAGGCTTCTGGCTTGTGCAGTATCTTTTATTCTACTTCAGAAGTGCAGTGAGAGGAGCAAATCTAGGAAGGAAGACAGTTGGTTCTGTTATGACCAGGTGCCTGTGGGCTGCTTCTGAAGAAGAGTCCAGTAGGCAGATGTCCAATCCAAAATGTAGGGGAAGATCTGGGTGGAACCAGGAATTTTGTTTTTTGAGTGTCAACTGCATCCCGACTGAGTGGATGCGATCACTAAAAGAGGTGTACATCCAGTGGTAAGAGTGATAATTCTCACCCTGGCTGCACATGAGAAGCATTTGGGGAGCTTGTAAAAAATACGAAGCCCTGGTACCCCAACCCTGAGATTCTGACTTAACTGGTCTGGAATGGGGCCTAAGTATAGGGAGGGAGAGAATGTGTATCCTGTGTGTGTAAACTCTAACCAGCATGCTGGGTTGAGAACCACTGGAGGGGAGGGTGAAGAGGCTGGAATGCAGTCTGCAGCCTGAGACGTAGGAGGAAGTCTTGGGATGTGGCTGTGAGGAGCACAACTCGGTGTTCTCCACTGGTAAAGTCAACTGAAACACTTCCCAACAGTGTTTTTTGATTCCTACTTTCCAAGTTAGAGTAGAAATAACAAATTGAGTCCATTCCAACTTAAGGTTAAGTGTTGGTATAAAAAACAATGGCTCCACCACTGAGAAGCTTCCCAGGTACTGTGTCCCTGTTCAGGAGGAAATGAGGTGAGTATCTACCTCTTTGTCATGGGGATAAAAACCTTTAGGACATTAGGTAATTGTATAGATGGAGCTGTGACTGGTTGGTCTTGCTGCCCACCTGACCCAAGCTGGCCTCAGGTGAGAGAGATGCCCCAAAGAGACCCCTGTTGGGAGACAGGAACTGCCACTGAGCCAACCCTCCATGGGCCACATATGAAGCAGCATGACATATGCCTTCCACTTACTAAAGTCCCCTACCCTCTGCATTTCCTAGTAAACACTCATCTCTTCCATCAAACAGAAGACCCCTGCTTTAATTGACCCAAGTATTCTACTGCTACCATTGCATATACCTCCACTCCCGAAGTTCTTTCAACTCTGTCCCCAAACCACAACTATGAAATCATTTCAGTGATAGGGTACATTCTCTCAAAAAAGGCACACTTAATTACTTATGTCAATCCCTCTGACTTTCAAATCTGCTTCTAGATTTACTGTATTTCATGTCCATGAGAATTTCACCTTCATTAGGGCAGGGATTTTGTTCACATCAAAAGTACTAGCGCTCAGTAGGCACTTAACAGATGAATGCACTGAAGGAAATAGTTCTGAACACTGGAGGCATCCAACCCTTGCAGAACCATCCAGTCAGAGCACCCAGTTGATGCCCACTGCTCCCCTCTGTGCACAGCTGTCTACATTCCACTACTCTCTGTTCTGCTATTCTACTTGGGCCCTCCAGACCACCACGTACCCAGCAAGAAGCCTGGGTAACCTGAGATGAAGAACATACCATGGAGAATCTGACAGTTTCCTGGAGAGTCAAAGTCAGTTCTTAGCACCTGGATGCTGGGCCAAGTCCAGGGTAGACAGAATGCAGGAATCACCATCTGCCCTCTCCTGTCTCACAGACTACAGATATATTCTTTGAATATAACAATTGGTTTAAAGAGAATTGTGATTAAGGACACCAAAATCCTGTTGCACTCTGGCACCTTCTTTGGTTTGAGTGCCAGAAGCTTGGTCCTCAGTGTGGTGATGTTGGGAGGTGGTGGGACCTTCAACAGATAGAGCCTAGTAGGAAGTAATGAGGGCATGTGACTGCTGTCTTTGGGAGGAATTAAGTAATTCCCCTGGGACTCCATGTAGTTGCCAAGAGAGTGGGTTGTTATAAAAAAACAACATTGGCCCCACCCTGATCTTTGGTTTTATTTCACCAGATCAATCTCTCGCTCCCTCACATGCTCCTGCTATGATGCCATCTACTATGTGAGACAGCCAAGGTGGCCTCACCAAAGCCAAGCAGATGTTAGTGCTGTKCTCCTGAATATGTAAAACTATGAACTAAATAAACCTCTTTTCTTTATACTTTATCCAGCATCAGACATTTTGTTATAGAAATGGAAAACTAATATGGCACCAAGTCATCTATAGGCATAAATTAAACTTATTAAAATTATACTGGAAGACTATTTTTTAAAAATTCCTGTTATAGAAATAAGGGGCTGTATCTATGTYAGATGAGGTATAGCCAAGAATATAGATTCAACATTAAGTCATTCCAATTTTTCATAGCTCCAAACATAATAATGCAACTCATTCAATTAAAATAAAGATTTTTGTATCTTTCTAAAAGCTTGTACAAATTTAATATACACTGCATTTTGTCAATGATCCAAAGGCTGAGAACAGCCAAATTATTTGCAGAGCTCTTAGTCTGTTATCATTTTCTATATATGGGGCCTCAGGTAATTTGCTTAATTTACTTGAGTGTCATTTTCTTCATCTTTAAAAATCCTGTCATTTATGCAGTGTCCATCTAGCAATAGTAACAACAGGAGATGATTCGTGAAAATAAGATTTTCTCATTTAAAAAACACACAAGCAATTCTTTTCAAAAGTAAGAATAGTGGATGCTCTTTTCCCTCCTGCATGARCTTATGTATAAGGGACACAAAGGCTGAGGTTTACTAAATCCTGAACTTTAGAAGCCATTCTGCCTAGTAAGTGATTAAGACTGCAATGTCAGCAAAAAATGATGAGTTGTTAGCAAATTCCCAACTTGAAGGCAAACCCTTCAAGGGAGTTTTGGTTCCTCATTTCACTTGCAGCCTAGGAGTCTCTGGGGTCTGTGGAAGGTACTGTTCACTCAGTATACTCACTCGGTACTTTGGAGTACTACTGGGCCATATCAGTGCTGACCCACAATGCCTTGTGTCCCAGACAGGATTTCCTGTTCTGCATCTTCTGTTCTCTCTCTCTGCAATAAAATAGTAGAACTCCAAAAGGGAGCCCTGCATGGCAAACCCACACCGCCAGGAGGCTCTAGTTAATGAGACAGTTAAAAATTCTTGAACCAACATATATAATAAGAGGGAAGATTGTCTGGGTCTTGGGAATCAAAAACAGGTTTTCCTTTTAGTCATGATTTTAGTTCATCTAAAGAAACATACATTAGATGAAGCAGACACCTGTCCACAAAAGAGGGGTTCAGGTAATCTAGCGTTGGTGGTGTCACGTCCTTCAATGTATAAGGACGAGAGATGCTCGGGTCGATGGGAGGGATCTGGTTGCTATAATAGTTTGCTGCTAAAGGTCCAGGATATTTTAACGGGTCTTCAAATTATTCAGACCTTGTTACTCACAAAAGCTTAAAGGCAGATTAGCTTGCTCAGTGTTTATCGTATGTTCCTAACTTTAAGGTCAAAAGGTTAAAAATTACATTTTTAGACTTTTAAAACTAGGATTCCGGAGTGACTTTGAAGATGCTAATCAGATGCATCTGTATCGCTGAAATCAGAAACCAAGCGGTGTGGTGGTATATACCTGTAATCCCAGTGGCTCAGAAGGCTGAGACAGGAAGATCACAAGTTCAAAGCCAGCCTCAGTAACTTAAAAAGACCTTAAGCAACTCAGCCAGATCCTGTCTCTAAGATATAAACAAAGGGCTGGATTTCTCAGTGGTTAAGCACCCCTGGGTTCAATCCCCGTTACCAAAAAACAAAACAAAACAAAACAGGAAACCCAGTTGAATGAAGCAGAGGCAGGGGTGGCAGGAGCTGTGTTATTTTGCTACTATGGGCCTGCAGGAGCAGTACAGTCTGAAACCGACAGTTGCGCCAGCTATTTCGTCATCCCCAAGTACAGCTAGGTAGGTTCCTGATTCCCTGGATCCTTATTGATCCAGGTGTCCAGTGTTTTTCTGGAAATTACGAGGCCCCATTTAAAAGCCCTCAAGTGTAAAAATTAAAAACGACAGTCATGCAGCCACTAGTCTGAGCCAAGGAGAACCAAGAAGCAGCAGGTCAGAAGCAACAAGGAACAGGCAGGATGGGAGGTGTTCAGGGCTCCATGATCAGCGTGATTTGTTGGGTTGGTTTGGCTTGAAAGGGTGAACATTTTTCAGATAAGTATATGATTTGTAGTACATTGCTTATAAAAGGTTTTCTACCCTCAACTTTTGTAATTTCCAAGAGGAGAAAAATTAGTGCCATATGCATCTGGGCACAAAAGAGATGCTACGAGGAATATGATGGTGATGATATGAATAACTTCACATAAGCCTCCCGCCTATTCAGTTCTGCAATTTCAGATTCTATAACGAGGTTCACAGCAGTGGCTCTCATAAGGCAGAAGTAACAAGGAAAGCAACATAAAGCACTTAAAATAAAGAGTCCATCATACATACATATCCTTAAAGATATACACATGATGCTGTGAGCAGTGCTGAAACGCTTTCGGCATTCTAAAATCAGATGAGATAAATTCAGCAGCCCAATGCATAAGGCAATTCTGTAAACATGGTGCAGTTAATGATCAGAAAAAGGAAGAAGGTTAGCTAAGAAATGTGAGCTTTGTCTTTCCGGTGTGAACATTAATTTTTTTTGCTTAATATAAAATGTCATCTTTAATTGGGGCGATCAGCATCCATTAGTATACAGACATCAACAGATGTGTTGGAATCTGACAGGTTATAAATCAGTGCTGAGACTACGGCCGAGACAAGAGTTAAGTGCATAGTCAAGAACACTGCAGATTTTGGAGCATTTTGGATTTCAGGTTTAGGTGTTTAGCACCTAAATTCCTTTCGGGGGGGGGGGGATGTGTCTTACAATGGAGGGGTAAGGAGGATACTAACACATGAATTTGCTCTTTATGCTTCTGTGTCAAATATTTGCCAGAGTGTGGACTCTAGCGAAAACATGCTAAAAGTTGAATGACAGTGTCACTCATTGGATAAGTTTGGCCACAGCATAGTTCAATTTAGCAAAGTGCAGCAACTAACATCTCTAAAAAGTGTACAAAGAACTGGCCATTTGGTGACCCTTCGAAGGCACAACCACTGTCAAAGAGACATACTGCTGAGGACACCTGTCAAATCACTGTTTCTGTGAGCTGCATGTAGTGACATGTCCTTCTCTTAAGAGATGTGGTTCAGTTCCTTCCCCCACCTTCTATAAACTGAACTCTCTGGGTCCCTTGACTTACACAATGAAGCTGGAAATGCACTTATCTTTGAAAATGGGATTTTTTTCCTTCTATGTTAGAACATTTACATCAAACATTTAAAAATCTGCATTTAAAGAAAATAATTGCCTCATTAATGATGTTATCCAAGAAAATAAAATAACAGTGTTCAAATTCCTACAAACTTACATTCCTTAGGATTATATATCTATTCTACTTATTACATGGCATTTGTTGTTATTATTATAAGAGTAGTACTTATTAAATATTCATGCATATATAAAAGGAAGAAATTGTACCCATAATCCTAGTGTTGCTGCTTCCTCCTTACCCCTACTCCCCACCCCAAGAAAATATTAGATGAGTCATAGCGTGGGGGCTGTTGCAATACAGGCTGGCATCTCCAATCAGAAAACATGAAATCTGAAAGGCTCCAAAATCTGAAACTTTTTGAGCACTGACATGCTCAAAAACACTTCAGATTGTGTGGAGCATTTTGGATTTCAGATTTTTGGATTAGGGATGTTCATCTGGTAAAATCTATGTAACCATTCAAAAATCTGAAAAAAAAATTAAAAAATCTTTGCACCCTGAAACACTTCTAGTCCCAAACACTTTGAATAAGGAATACTCAATCTATGATGGGTTCCAGTGAAATATGAGCCCCATGTTAAACTAATATCTAGTTTAATAAGARGCATGGGTAGGGTTAGTTCTCCCACATGGATGATGGCTTGGCCATAGGACTTGATTTTTCTGATGGACATTAGCAAATTTGATGCAACTATGGACTTAAAAATGCCTGTGTATTGGGGCTTGTTCTGTCTGTCTTCACTGAAATTATGTGAAGAATCTGGGGTTTGTCTATTTGAGGATGAGAGACCTTGTGGTACAGAGAAAAGCCTTTCCAGATGAGCCTGAAAGACCAAACCAGGTTTGTAATTACCAGACCATCTACCCCCCCAAGGGAGCCACAAGCTCACTACAGAGATCAGATGAGCCTAAAGAACCTTCCAGCTGATTTACATATTGTGAGAAATCATAAAATAAGAAATAAGATTTGTTGTTTTAAGCCACTGTATTTTGAAGTTGTTTTTTTTAAATAGTAAAACCTAACTGACACAAGGGTAGATGTATAAATGAAGTTCTTATGGGTGCCGAAGTTTAGGCAATAAATGATCATAAAAGTGGGTAATTTGATGACCTATATAGAACTGTATAATACTATTAATTTTGTGCATAGAAATGAAAATAACTTACCCCAAACTCCCATAAATACTGCAAAGACCAGGGTTCCAAAACTGTCAAAGATGCACAATTTCTGGAAAATATATAACATACAATGAATCAAGTTTTTCACTTATTGGAATTCAGTAAACACATAGTCTCGTATATTCTGCATTCTGAAGTTCTTTCTAAAACTAATCCCTAGTTTAACAATTACCATGTGAACTATATACTCATGGGTAGCATTTCTCATTCTTTTAAAAGCAAATGCCTTTTTCGATATTAACCTGAGTGCATTTTCCAATGGAATCTTTCCACGTTTCGATAAACAGGTGCAGCTGCTAAGACTCTACTCTGTTTGAAGCCTCCTTCAGCCTTGAAAAATGGCCTCTCTATATGAGCTGTCATAGTGAATGTGAGGAAGTAGCATGGTGGATCTAAGAAAACAATACCCTCTAAGCAAATCTTAGCTTTATGATTTGCATCTTATCATCCTCTCACCCTCCTCAGATGGTAAGTTCATGAATTCCTGATTTTCTTGTTCAAAGAAGTACAAAGCTGAGGTTTATTCAGAGATGGATTTCCTCCAGGGGAGCTCTGCTCCCTTAAACCCAAGGATGGTATTTCTACTTGGCTGACACTTTCACTGGGATAATAGATACACAGGTGTGTTTCCTAACATTGCAATGAGTATACTGATCATCAGTGATAAATAACATATCTGGCCAAAGACGACTAGGGTCACTAGTTCTGCTAAATTTATCTCTTTGTTAGTTTATAAATAGCCTATCTTCCTTTATGACTTCCTGGAAAATTTTTAGTTGGTTACTAAATTTTTGTTACTGAGCAATTTTTTTTTATTTCTTTAGAAAAATCCATAAAATAGGGGCTGGGGTTGTGGCTCAGCGGTAAAGTGCTCGCCTAGCACGTGTCCGGCCCTGGGTTCGATCCTCAACACAACATATAAATAAAGGTAATATGTCCAGCTGCAACTAAAAAAATAAATATTTAAAAAATCCATAAAATAATGGAAAAGTGACAAGCTTATGTTATATCTACTTCACAATAGATCAGATGAAAAGTAAAGTAAAAATGGAAACTGAATAGAAAAAAAAGCTAGATATTAAAAAAAAAAAAGCTTCAAATACCCAAGAACATTCAAAGCTGCAACTTTGTTTTAGGTAATTTTTTTTCTGGTTACCTTTATATACACATGTGAAGTGATAAACTTATGTATGCAAAAACATTAGTTATGCTATTTTCTTGAAAGAGTATACACCCAACTACCTTCTCATTCATCTGGTTTCCAAAGCCCATAGATGTTCCCTTGATCATCCACATAGTCCCTGATCAAAAAGTACAATTCTAAATTGTCTCAACAATTATTTTTCTCAAAAATCCAGCTCCAGGAAGAAAGGACTAATAAATGCATGACTGCATTGAGGAATAATGTTCTCCACCTACTTCTCTAGTTTGGAGATTTCATAAATCACATATTTTAAATCTTTTAGCTTTGATGCTTATGGAAACATTTTTCCAAGTTGTCTATTAATGCTGTTTTATCCTTTATTGCAAATTATTGTTAAGTCCTGTGAAAAATAGTTCTGCATGTTATAATGTTGTGATTGCAGATTCTGTCCAACAATACTCCTGTTTTAGGAAGCAATGCAAGGCTCTATTAGATACTACCCTGCTTGCTCTGATACCTCTGCCTACCTACTCTGGAAGGAAAAAGCCCTTCCAGAATGAGGTGGCTAGGTGAATCCTCAACCTTATTCTAGGAAAATGTCCATGGAAACTCATCTAGCAGTGGTAGAGAAAAACAACAGGAAGACTGCCCAGATAACCCTGGCTGGTAGCCCAAGGCGAGGGGCATGCCTTGCACTTCAGAGAGAGAGAGATATAGGCCTGGATGAAGTTACCATTCTTGCCACAAGTGTGAGAATCAAGGACCCAGGAGGAAGAATAAGATATTTGGCTTTTTTGTTCTGTGTCCCATGAGCCATATGAAAGCAGAAAGTAGAGGAGAAAGTAAGCAAGGGGCTTTCTTGGTAAGAAGCCTTGCTTAGCATTTGTGTTTAAAGAATTTAAAGGCATTTGCTTTAAAACAGAGAGGGCAAGGTGGCTACCAGAGCAGCCCTAAGCCATCATACTCTTTGAGTCAAATGGGGCAGGAAAGATAAGAGCCATGTATGAAGGTGTGACAATTTTAAAAGAGGAAACAAATCGGAATCTTAAACATAAGACCATTTGTTATTCTTTCTTCCTGCAGAGAAACAAAAATCAAAATTTTATAACATTGTATTTCTAAGAACAAAATATTAGAACTGACCATGATTTTCTTTTGTCTTGTCTGCCATAAAGCCAAGGCCCTTATTCAATGATCAGTCAGTAAGAGCAGTATCAGTTATTAATCCCCACCATTCACATCGTTGTTTCCTCATTTCCTTGGTCCTGATTCTTATTACGATTTAAAATTTGTTAACCCTTTTGGCATACATATCAATTAGTGACTATCTCTTTTGAAAAGAGGTAGAAATTTATGCATAAATAAATGTATGAAGGAAGAAATTACTGCATTAACAAAAATTTCCATCTCATCCTTTAATTCATATTCTTTTTAATATGTTTCCTTCCCTTCATAAATCATTCTGGCAAGATTCAAGGGACCCTTTAGGAAAATGAAATTGGAATAGACCCATTTTTTTTTATCAAAACAATGAATGGATAATGTACACAGACACTTGACAGTCATGTKCTAAGGATGGGTAGGTGGAGCAGAAGAAATGAGAGAAGAATGGAGGAGGGGAGTGTGAGGGAGAGAACTTCTGAGGGAAAGTGGACTTTCCACTATAGTTTTGTGGAGCATAATTTCCCTCTAGTATTGATTGTCACTGGCATTTGCTTTAAATCCAGGAACTCAGGATTTATGTTGAATAGTGACCTTTAGTTTATGAGTCAATATCACTGGAAAGCAGATCTTGCTAACTTCAAGTCTTTTATTTTGTGAAATTTTTTTAAATGGGCAGGGCTGTGTGCAATGAAATCTACTTTAATTCATAATTAAGCATAAAAATCTAAATGTTGTCAATGCCCTGCAATTATCTTAACTAAGTGGTGGAATAATTTTTTAATATAAATCCAACTTTGAGAGTAAGTGCCTGGTACCATTGTCAGCTAGGGAGGAACACAGTATTGGCAAGAAATGTAGATCTGCTCTCAGTTTCTGGCTTTGCCAGTGATCTTAAGCAGATTGTTGAATCTCTGCTTCTCAGTGTTTTACTTTATAAAATGTAGACAACAACTATTCTCTCTATCTGACAGGGCTTTTGTATATGTCAAAAGTAATAATTTCAGCATAAGAATTTTCAAAAGTATAAAATATAAAGTGACCTCACTGCAATAGCAATATAGTGGTACAATCAAGCTGATATCGAGTAGGTCAGAATGTTCTGAAGCCATGTAATGATTCCAAAACTGTCATGGCAGGATGAGGGGACAGAGAGATCACAACAATTGTCAGGAAGGTGCTATGAAGTAAGCTGGCCATCTTTCTTCCTGCTGTGGAGTTTCCAGACTGTTCTGTGATAAGCTCCCTCCAGTCTCAATGCTTGCCCTAAACCTGCTGGATTTTAAGAGGTCAAGAGCATCTGCAAGCACACACCTGTAATCCTAGCAACTGAGGCAGGAGGATTGTGAGTTTTGAGAATTGTCACCCTTAGCAACTTAGCAAGGCCCTAAGCAACTCAGTGAGGCCTTGTCTCTAAATAAAATACAATAATGGACTGGGGATGTGGCTCGGTGGTTAAGTGTTCCTGCGTTCAATTCCAGGTACAAAAAAAACCCAAAACCCATCTGCATGTATCAGGTGGGCTAGATGTATTTTGTAAAATGTTTTGAGACAAACACCTTTTATTACATATTTGCGAAACCTTCCCTATATATATTTATAGATTTTTTTTAGAGAGAGAGAGAGAGAATTTTTTAATATTTATTTAGTTTTTTTGGTGGACACAACATCTTTATTTTTATGTGGTGCTTAGGATCGAACTCAGCGCCCCACACATGCCRGGCGATCGAGTTACGGCTTGAGCCACATCCCTAGCCCCTATTTATAGATTTTTTAAATTTAGTTTTTATTTGTTCTTTTTAGGGCCCTAGTCTTGTGGGTGTACAGGATAGTGGGATTAAACAAAGAGGAATGAAGGAAAGGGAAGGGGGTAGGAATAGGAAAGACAGGGAAAGAATCCGATATAACTTTCCTATGTACATTTATGAATACAGATGGATTTTTAAAGACTCTGCTGGTCATATTTAGACTAAGCACAGTTTCAGAATACTTCAATGGGGAAAAACACAACTTTCACTCATACAAATTTCAGGTTTCGTAAGAACAAATAACAGGTTTCCTCTTGCTTCAATTAAGGAAAACACTTTTAATAGTAAACCTATTACAAAGTATTCATGAAATAAGCTGGGCTTGAGATCTTTGCTTTGATTACTTGAAATACCCAAACAGGTTCAATTCCACCATTTCGTCACTGACTCTCCATGAGATTTTAGATAAGCTTTTTGATCTCAATTTATCATTTGTACAAAGTGAGCAAGAGGAATAAACACATGCATTGCAATACTACCTTCAGAATTTTTGGAAGCTTAGTTGAAAAACACCTTTCGGATTCTTCAGAAGGAAAAAATGATATAATTTGTACATAATAAAAAATGACCTAGTAGAAGGAAAAAAAAGTTGCTTTGTTATGTTTAAATATTTGAAATAACAAAAATTACCTTTGAGGACTCACAAGTAATATTCAGTTTCCAGAATGGACAAATCTTGTCACACTGAGGACACATGACAATCTTGCCACCAATATCAGGATCACAAACTTCTTTGCTAAAGAAAGAGAGAAATAAAACATTTAAAAGGCTTAATGAAAAGGACTTCCTTTCTGCCAGCATGATAAAATCCAATATCCATTCATGATAAGAAATAAAACTCTTATAAGAATAGAAGTGAACTTCATCAGACTGATAAAGGTTTGCTCCATAAAACCTATAAAAATATTTAATGGTAAATGCTTAAAAGTGTTTCCTTTAGCTCAGGAATAAGACAAAGGACTCTATCATAATCACTTCTTTCTAGCTGGAGGTCTCTGCCAGCACAGAAAGTCAAGGAAAACAAAGCCATGAGGGTTGGTCTGAAAGAAAAAAAACCTGACTCTACTGATTGGTTCATATAGACTATCATGTATCTTTCAATAGAATTTACATGTAAAATATTAGAATTAAGAAGTTTAAAGTTTGCTAGACAAAGAATCAATATACAAAATATACACAGTGACACAGAAAGGAATTGTATCTCTATGTACCTGCAACAATTATGAAATAATTTTTAAATGCCATTTTCATCAGCTTAAAAAGTATGAAGTGTTAGGTCGGTGGTGGCGACTTAGAACAAAGCAGCCCGAGCTGGAAGAGAACAGGAATCAGGTGCCAGCTGAAATGCCTGTCAATCAGCCAGATCTCCTGACTAACGCCTGTCAATCCGCAGGACCCCCTGGCCAATCCTGGAGTTCAGCCAACTCCCAGGGGGCAAGGGACCCTAGAAATACCTTTTCCTGTCCCAAGCCCTTCCCTTCCTGCTGTAAGCCCCATAAAAGTCCAGTCCGGTCGAGCTTCCATGCAGTTTCTCCTCAGACCCTTCCCCTGTCCCCTCTGTGGGTCTGATCGAGTTCCACCAGGGAGTGATATCTCAATAAAGCCTGTTCAGCGGCCCTTTTAAATCTGCCTCCTTTGGTCGCTGCCTGACTCGCCTGATCTGACATGAAGTGTCTAGAACAGTTCTAACCGAACCTGATTTAAGATCTAGATGATGGAAATTTTAAATCTATAAGACAGTGAAGAGGACCTATTCTATAATATCATAATTTAGAAGAATCAATACTTGAAGATGTGAGATCTCTTCCATTTCAGCTGTAGGCTCCATGGAAAAGCAAAAGCTCAGTCAAAACACTACTGAAGAAGGCAATATTAAGAAAAACAACTGATGGAACACAAGAAAATTTTTAGACACAGATCTCCATCACATAAAAAACTGACGTAGGACAGAGTTGGTCCTGCAATTTAGTAAGTTGAGAACTGACCTTTCAATAAATATGGCTGGTACTACAGAATATCTATGTGGGAAATCATAAAATTAAACCAGTAATGATAATACATACAAATCAATTCCAGGTGGGAACTGAGAACATCAATAGTACTAATGTATTGGGGGAAAAAACAAACAGAATATTTAGATAATCTTAAGGTAAGATGAAATTTCCTAAATATAAAATCCCAAAGCATAAATCATCAAGGAAAATATTGATATATTCAATATTCTTTTAAAAGTAAGAATGTCATTAAAAGACAACTTGAAAGAGAGAGAACTAGCCACACAGTGGTAAAAGCTTTGCAACAGGTAAACATGACAAAAGATTACTCACCAGAATATTTTAAGAACTCCTACAAATTAGTAAGGAAAAAGCAAATAGATGTTGAACACCCACTCCCTGTAGCAGAAGCCATTCAGATGGATTCTTATGTCAATAGGACTAGAGTTGTGCAATTAGGGGACCTTGCAAAATAACTCAATAAAAACAAATGGGCCTGGGAAGCACTTCTGAAATAGTTAAGATCTTGAAAAACTAACTCCTCCATAAAAGCAGCAAAAATACTGGCAAAAATTGTCAAAATGAACCTTTGCAGAACTCTTGTTACTAACCAAATGCTTACAGTGATCTGAAGAGCATTAATTTGAAGGAAATTGGCTAAATCTCTAAGAACAGTGAGCTTTGTGGCATTTTAACTGGACCAATTCCCATCCCTATCTTCCAAGTTTCATGGTAACCTTAAAAAACCAGAAAGCCAAAGTAGTTTGGAGCTACCCCAAAACCCCAGAAAATTGTCAGTACTGGACCTATCTAGAAGCTCCCTGGAAATGCTCCAGGCACAGTATTTGTAATTTTGACCTTGTATTCAGGGATCAGACTGTGCAAACAGCCCAGTCCCCCAGGTGTCCATTCAAAGCAATCAGCAGGAATGGTTTAACTTTGCAGCTGCCTGAGGCAGTGATACCAGTAGAGGCTAACAAGAAGTTAACTCCAAAACTAAACAGGAAGAATTAGGGACTGAGGTAACCATAGAGGGTTTTATAAAGCTTCAACATACTCCTGGAATTGTTGAAGGCCATGTGCATGTGTAGGACCCAAGGCCAGGAAACACCTAAGGTAACCTGAATCTCTCACCTCTGGCTAACCTGAGGCTCTGCATGAGAAAACACAAAAGGATACAGGAGAGCTGAAAAGTGTCTGCCTGAGTGTCTGAGTGTGAAACACATTACACACAGGGGCAGGGGGAAGGAAATGACTGGTTCTAGTATTTAGTGAAATCACTAGTTAATCCAATCTTTAGCTGACAGCTAAAGTTACTGAACACAGACTTCAGAGGTCACACCTGACAAAGAATACAGACCTTATGGAATTAGCTCAGGACAGAAGCTGGACAAAGAACACCAGCATCAACAACAAGTAACAACAAACCCTGAAAGTGGGGAGGGGCCGGGTCCTGATTTCACTATTACCTACATTATAATATTTAAAATGCCAACTTCTCAACATAAAAAATCACAACATACACCAAGAAACTGAAAAGTATGGTTCTAATGCAGAGGGGGAAATAAGCAATCAAGAGAAACTGTCCTGAGGACCCCCATACATTGCACTTATTAGACAAAGACTTTACATAAGCAATTATATGTATTTCAAGAACTAAAGAAAATCATATCCAAAGAATTAAAATAGGTGAACCATATGAGAATATCAATAAAGAGATAGTCATTATTAAAAAAATTAGATATTTAAGGAAAGCAAAGTACAATAACTTCAATAAAAAATTATCTAGAGGGGCTCTGCTGCAGACATGAAATGGCAGAAGAAAGAATCAGTGGAAGCCAGTCGCTTTGGCGCCTGTATCCCAGCAGCTTGGGAGGCCGAGGCAGGAGGATCGAAAGTTCAAAGCCAGCCTCAGCAATATTGAGGCGCTAAGCAATTCAGAGAGATCCTGTCTCAAAATACAAAATAGGGCTGGGGATGTGGCTCAGTGATGAGTGCCCCCGGTACAAAAAAAAAAAAAGCCCCAAACCCCAAAACAAAGAATTGGTGGTGTTAATGCTGGTCTATTAAGATTACCCAGTTTGAGGAATGGAAAGAAAAAGGAATGAAAAAAATGAACACAACCTCAGACACTAAAAGGGGCAGAGCCAGGCATGGTGGTCAATGCCTAAAATCCCAGCGAATGGGGAGGCTGAGGCAGGAAGACCGCAAATTTGAGGCCAGCTTCAGCAACTTAGGGAGACCCTGTCTTAATTTTTTAAAATAAAGGACTGGGGTTGTAGGTGAGTGGTAGAGCAATCCTGGGTTCAATCCCCAGTCCCCCAACAAAACAAAAACAAAAATATCCCCCAATTTTTTCTGAAGTTTTTAATTTAAATATTTACTACAATAATCAAAGCTAGTATGTGTTGATCAATGGAAAAGAATTGGTAATAGCCGATTTTCAACCAGGGTGCCAAGATAACTCAACGGGAAAATAAGCAGTCCTCTGTAGATGGTCTGGGGCACCTGGAATGTGTGCATGAAAAATTAACTCAAAATGAATCAATCACAAACCTGAAACCATAAAACTCTTAGAAGATAAACACTAAGAAAATCATGAATGTGAATTACTGACTTCTTGGAAAAAAGCACAAATAATAAAAGAAAAAAGTAGGTGGGCTGGGGTTGTAGCTCAGTGGTAGAATACCTGCCTCWCACACTTGAGGCACTGGGTTTGATCCTCAGCACCACATAAAAATAAACCAATAAAGATTGTATCTATTTACAACTTAAGAAATCAAAAAAAAAAAAAAAAGAAAAAGAAAAAAGTAGGTAAATTGGATGTCATAAAAAAGCTTGTCAATAAATGTTCACAGTAGTATATTTATAGCAGAATTATTCACAACAGCCATAAAAGGATTAATATCCCCAATGTCCATCAGCAGATGAAAGGATAATGTGGCAAATCCATACAATGGAATATTGCCTGACCACAAAAGGGAGTGAAGGACTGATCAATGCTAGAACATGGATGAAAGCAATGTGCTCAGGGAAAGAAGATGGTTATGAAAAGCCACACGCTGTTCAGCTCCACTCCTATGAAATGTCCAGAGAACAGAAAACAGGTTAGTGGTTACCAGGGGYTAAGGGAAAAGGGTATTAGGAAATGAACTGCTAATGGGCACTTGTTTATTTTAGGAGAGATGAAAGGTTCTAAAAATTAGATGGGTGGTGGCTGCATAAGACTGTGAGTATACTCAAAAAACCTGAGCTGAACACTCAAATGGGTGACTTTTGTACTATATATATAAATTATATCTTGATAAAACTATTATTTTAGAGGCTGGAGTTGTAGTTCAGCGGTAGAGCGCTTGCCTAACATTTGTGGGGTGCTGGGTTCGATCCTCAGCACCACATATATATAAATAAATGAAGAGAATAAAAAATATTGTGTCCATCTACGACTAAAAAAAAACCCTGTTATTTTAAAAAGGGATATATCAACTTGAAACACTTTAAAGAAGAGGAAATACCTACAATATCCCCCACTTATGTGTCTACGTGTTTTCAAAACCACAAAATTAAATCAACTTTATGGGTCTAAGCTACAAATGTGATTTTAAAATATCAGTAAGTGTACAGGAATGACAAATACAAAATTTAATAGAGTAGTTATTTCCAAAGAAGACAGGGTTGGGTAAGGAATTGAGGAAAGCACTGTTATTTGAAGACAACACTTCTGTTCTTTTTCTTAAACTGGATGATGTATCATTATTCTTCATACCTTAAATGTATTTTCTATTCTTGTGAATCTACAGGTATGTGATAGAACTGAAAATATTTCAAATTTATACATTCAAAACATTTTAAAGATATTTAATACATAATTAAAGCCAAATCTTTTTGAGCACAGGACTATATCCCCAAGATCCTCCTCCTATTTTCCATAAAACAATCTGTGTGAAATGGCAGGAAATATGTGATGTGACTACCATGGTGATTTCATAAAATGAGTTACAATAAGAACAACCACATGAGAACCTTATCAAAATGCAACTTTCATAGTCTGCAAATGTATTTTTGAGATGCCTTTTTTTGTTGTTGTTGTTTTGGGCTGGAACAGTACATGAAACAATGGAGAAGCCAAGCACAAATTCAGGGGGAAAGGATCAACATTCAGCCTTTGGCCCAAACTCTTTTTCAGTGAAGAGGGGAGAGTACTTGACAAACCATCTGCAGCTTTCTAGCTAAGAAGCCACAATGGGCACAAAAGGCTCAGAATCCCCCATAAATGGAATGGGCAATTACACCCATGCATGGGGCAGCCATGTAAGCATCCTGCCTCAGGAGCCAGGATGATATGCTTGGGGCTTGAAAAATTTGGTCACCAACTCATTAATGGTGCCCAGAAATTTTGATCTGGCTGTTACACATGGACAGAGGCTAGATGATCAACAGAAAATGTCTGGTTCAGTGCTGCATCCCTTTCTGGTGGTTGAGACCCCGAAAATGGAGGAATGGCAACAATTCAGGACAGTGAGTGAAATTCAGAGTGCTCTGGCACCCAGGGACTTGCCTTTAGAAAGTGCAGCTGGTGTTTGAATTCCGAAATCAAGCATAAATGAATTCTCTCACTTGTTTTCCCAAACAGAGTCAGGAATAATTTTGTAAAAGTAAAAAAAAAAAAAAAAAAAAAAAAAGAAACCCCAAAACAAAAAAACCAGTGACTGTTTACTTGAGTTATTAAACATGAATTCTTAATACAGATTAGAAACCCATTTTGAAAAGCAGAAAAACACCAGCTCTATCAGTTTTCCCATGGAAACCCTGAAGAAATTAGGAGCTGCTCTTGGCCCATATCTGCAAAGCTGAGTGAAGCATTCCTCTGGGGCTAGAAGTTCAAGGGCAATTCTCCCTCCAGTCCTCCTTTCTTTTTCAAACAAAGTATTGTCTTAAAATATTGGAGTGTTTCTGAAGGGTAATATTCCTGTCAGAGGCTGGGTTGGATTATCTGAGAAAAAWTTTTTTCCATTTCACTTAGTTATTAAAACAAAGGGGATATATCATCCAAAGAAATGAGTGTTCTGCACGGAGTCTTCTTTTACCAAAATAGCCTAAAATCCTGCAAATAATTCTATGTCTAATCAACTTTTCAGTGCGACAACAATGAGTAAACAGAGGTTACCTCCATGTACAGTTATCTTGATTAAGATATCCGTAGAGAAAGCAGGCCACCCCCACCACTGCAGCCAGCAGGAGCATCTGAGTGTAATAGCCCAGCCAAGCAAAGTAGATTCCAATCTTCTCTCCATAGTATTTCCTGAAGACAGACAGAAATTAGTTTTAGAAGACACAAATAATCACTCTGCAGCTTCATCCTAATATTATTTTCTGATTTTAAACAACGGAGGCTTTAAGCATAAGTCTCTGACTCAATTCACCCTTAAAACATGTCCGTCTTCGGAGCAGATCCCAAGTTCTGCTATGAAACAAAAGTGCATTACACATTATGGAAGCACTGATCATTATCACCGGTTTGCCTGTGGAAGCAAAATAAATTTAAAGGAGAGTGGGGGAAAGCAAAATGCTGACTATGGAGCAAACGGAGCATCAACATCACTCTCTGTAAGGACTAGTCCTAGTTTACACATTCTTCAGAGTAGTATTTTTAATATGCCTGAAACAAAATAAACAATTTTCTCACTTATCTGCCTTGGCAAACTTTCCTTTGAAGGAAATATAATGTAGGTCACAAATAATAAGAAAATGACTGATAATAATACTGTTGCCCACTCCCCATCTGTAGAGGATACAAAGATCCCCAGAGGATGTCTGAAATCTCAGGTAACACTAAATTTAATACAGTGGTCCCCCCTCGCCCCAATCCGAGTCTCACTTTCAGTGGTTTCTGTTACCTGTGGTCAAGAAAAAGAAGGTTGGGTAGGGTACATTAAGATACTACAGAAAGAGACCCCATTCAAATAATGCTTATTACAGCATACGATTATTCAATTTTGTTAGCTATCTTTAATGTGTTTATTTATAAATCAAACTTTATCATAGGTATATGTGTATAAGGGGAAAAAAAGAATACATAGTTTGGTCTCTGGCCAAAGTTTTTTTTTTTTTTTTTTAAAAACTCGTTGTAAGAACGAGAGAGGGAGGGTATATGTGAATGAGAAATCCACCCCCCTATATTTCTTATATCTACCACTTCTGTGTTTTCTAAGTTTTAAAAGTTAATTAATGATGTAACTTGGGGTAAAATGGAAAAGGGGAGGTAGGGGAGATTAGAAGAGTGGGGGCTGAGCAAGCAGCAGAGCCAGAATTATTCCAGAGAGGGAGGCCAAATACATCAGAGAGGGAGGGTTCGGGGACAAGGAGAAAACAACGAGTGGTTGTTCAGGCAAATGCTGCTGCTGCCTTTTCCTCAGCTGAATCCCGCCTGTCTGTCTTGGTGGGTGGAATCTGGAGACTTGCTTAGCTCTGAGGCATGGAGGAGACTCAGGGTTCAGTGTGAAGCTGGGTTCAACTCCCTGGGCTTTGCCTACGGGGGCACTTAGCTCTGAGAACAACCTGGAGACCTGGGAGGCTTCAGAGAGGGACATCCCTGGTCTGGACCAGCGCCACAGGCCACAGGCCTGGCAGGAGGCCTCATCCTGAAGGGTTGGGAACAACATGGGATGAGGGTATGGGAGGAACAAAGTGTGTTCATTTTCCTGTGTCTGAGGCTTTGTTGTCTGGCTCGTGGCTGGCAGGCTCAGGACAGTGCCTGGGAGAGAAAAGCCTGGCCAGGAGTTTGAGGTGTCTCGGCATGTTTTCTGTTATGCTTTCTGTAGCATGTTCTTGCCATGGTTTAGATATGGGTTACATGTGTCATCAAAGAGCTCATGTACTGGAAGTTTGATGCCCAGTGTGGAGATGTAAGAGRTGGATCCAAGTGGATGGTCACTGGAGACTTCGCCCTCCAAATGAATTAAGATAGTTCTTGTGAGACCCTGAGTTAGATCTCATGAGAGGTCATTATAAAGAGACAAGACTTGCTCCTCCCCTCCATCTGCCCTCCTATCTTGCCTTGTGACCCCTCCCTTAAAAATGTGCTCCAGCCCTGATGTGACCCAGCCAGGGGGGCCCTCATGAGAGTTGGCATTATGCTCTTTGGACTTGCAGCCTCCCAAACTCTAAGCTAAATAAACCTCTTTTCTTTATAAAGTACCCAGCTTTAAATGTACAGTACAGTAATGGGAAACAAGATGAATAATAGTTCTGATAAACCATTCCATCCTGGTCATATTTAAAATTGGAAAGAATCTTAGCCCCAGTCCAACCTTCCAATGGTAAAAATATCCTGTCATATTTAGATAGCTGGTCAGGTGGTCTCAGCTTGGATATTTACAATGACAAAGAGTTCATTACTTCCTAAGGCATGTCCTGTTACACTGAAGGCAAGGTTTGAAAGGTTTTCCAAATCTTAAATGGAAACCTGTCTCCTAGTTCTGAGAAGCTGGGGATATTGAGGGTCCCTTAAAATGAGATATTCTCTGATCAATGTTTTTCTGCCAAAAACATCCCAACTTCTATCATCCATTTAAAAAAATCAGCTTTGAAGAATCAAATAGTCTAGAAGGCTGACTATAAAAAGGAACAGTCCCCAACCTATCTCTTGCTGCACAGAAACAGCCACTTTAAACCTTTAAAACTGATTCTTTATTACTTTCATATCTCAAAATAATATGCAAGAAGAGCTGGTTACTGATTCATCAGTTTTATGTATCACCTATTGACTTTCTACTCTGGAAGATAAGGAGTAGGCTCTCTTTCAACCCCACCTCATTTACACATTCATATCTCTGTTTCCATCCTCTTGACATAGTTACATTATAATTTTTGGTTAGGTCGATACTCATGCTTTACATTGCTATGACTCTGTACACATGATTCACAACTGAATCAAGTCATCTGCTATGATTACTTTTGCTTTCCTACCCATGTTTAGTTTTCCTTGGAATTGATAATTGTCTTAATGGCTCAATGCTTGGTGCTCAGTGAACTTATCAACAATTCAGCCCCAGACCCTTCCCTGCTGTATGACTTCCTCAGTGTATTTAAACCCAGGAGGTGGTTTATCACAAAAACCTACTGGAGTTTTTCTATCACATTTTTAATTTTCACAAGCTACATTTTACTCTTGCAATGATCCCTTTTATAGAATCCTGTTCTTGTCTGGTGAACAAGAGCAGAATTGACTCCCATTTTCTGATTGGAGTTTTGAGGGAGAAACTTTTCTTTTTTCTCTCTGCAAAGCCTGTTTCTTACAGGTTGCTCTTTCCAGTTTGTTTGGTTTACTTTTCCCTTTTGGTAATTTCTGGGAACCACAGATGAAGGTTAGCAGCCTGGATGCTCAAGGAGTTACTAGTGAAGCAATGAAGCAAAGGAACATGTGGACTTGGGATGGGGAAGAGTTAAATGGACTTCCCTTCACAAGATATAATTAAAACAGTGGGGAAATTGGTTAAACATTAGCAAAAAATGATTAAGAACCCTTCAAACCTCTACCCTCCCATCAGATGATAAAGGTTTAATACAAAAGGAAATCCATAATAGGAAAACTGCACATGGATGACCTCAAATACAGTCATCCCTCTACATCAGTGAGTTTCACAATCACAGATTCAACCAGCCACTGCCTGAAAATACTGGGAGAAAAAGAAATGTGTCCATATTGAACACTTTTTTTTTCTTGTCATTATTCCTAAAGAATCTAGTATAATAATTATTTCCATAGCATTTACAATGCATTAGGTATCATTAGTAATCTAGAAATGATTTAAAGTATATGGGAGGATATACAAGGGTTGTGTGCAAATACTACACCATTTTCCATAAGGAACATGAGTATCTGGGTATTTTAGTATTCCAGAAGGGCCCTGGAACCAGTCCCCCAGGGAACACTGTATTTACATATATACAAACATCTTCATTTAAAATCTTGTTCTACAGGGAAATCAGAGTTAATAAAAGTGACTCTTCCTGATTATAAGCTAGCTAATAAATGAAGTAGGAGAGAATTAAAGTATAACTAAATGAATGAAATTAAATCTCTATGAAATCACAAATCTAAACAGCAGTTTAGATGTAAAAGTTACCATGATCACAGGAAAAAAAAAGAGATAACTGGACATTATGATCTTTATGACAGAAGCATTCAACTCCATGTATCAAGTATTTTTGCACAAAATCCATCAAGCTTCTAGATTAGAATCACATTACTATCTAAGGCAAATGCACAGGACAGAGGAACATGCTCAACACCACCACAGGGGAGAATAAAATCAGCAAAACAGGATGCAAGGAATTCTTGAAACAGTTGGACAGAGGCAAGAAACACAAAGGCAAAAACATGGGCCAGAGATGGAGATATTTTAGTTGCAACATCTGGCTCTTGTTTGGATCCCGATATGAACCAAGAAACAATAATTTCTGAGGTAATTAGATAAATCTGAACATTGACTATTTTTTAAGTATTCAGGTTATGCTTAAAAGACACTTTGTCTTTTAGAAATAAATGTTAAAGAAATAATGACATTTGGGGTTTGCTTCAAGATGATCCAGTGGAGCAGGGAAGGAAGGAGGTAGAGATAAAGATGGAACAAGACAGACTTTGAGTTTGTATGTTTTTGAGCTGGGTAACAGAGACATGAAGGCTCGTTCTGTTTTTTCTTCTTTTGTACATGTTCAAAATGAAATATAAAACAAATGATTCAAGTGTTTTAAAACTCTTTCTGTAAACATCAGGCACTTGACTCCAGGCTGACTTGAGAATAACCTGACTCCCCTCCTCTCCTCACCCTACACTTCCAATTCTTCACCCTCAGTGCTACTCCCAAAATGCATTACCAATCTGTTCCCCCAGTCTTCCAACTGGCCTACACCCAGAGCCTCCATTCTGAACCTGTTCTTCCTGCATCCTGTGCCCCCTGTGATCCATTCTCATTATCTCTGCAAAACATTAATGAGACAAAACTATTAAACACTTAAAATATTAGAAGTGCTTCTCATTGCACTTAAAGTCTAAAGTCCTTCCTGTGTTCCTGCTACCCCTCTAATTTAATGCCTTATCCCTTTCACATTAGCATTGCTCTTCCATATTTCCTTGAATTTGTCAAATGAACCTGTGCTCAGGGCCATTGCATTAGCTACCCCTATTCCTGGAATGACTTCTTCCAAATCCTCAAGGTACTAGATCCTTTTTCACTATTTGGTTCTCAGCTCAAATGTCACCTACTCCAAGATAACTTTTTGACTAACTCTCTACCCATCCCCCAGATTCATTATTCTGTTATTTCATTCCAATTTAAAAGTTTTCTCTTTTTTTTTTTTATAAGAAATTTGCTTATGTGTATGTGTTTGGCTGTTCTTTGTCTCTATCCAGCAGCAATGATCCTCCATCTCACCCAAACAAAAGCTTCTGGAGAGCAGTTAGTGTTGGTGTTATGAGAAGACAACACCCCTCCACCCAGGTAGTCAATATTTCTTGTGAGATAAAATAAAATAGTACCTAACAGCACATCCAGAAAAGCAGTGAAAATTTACTTGTCTTACCATATTATATAAACTAAACCTAACATTTATTCCTGTGCAATAAGGAATTTGGTGGGTCCTTGCTCCTGGTTCTTGGGAGGTTACCTCTAACCCCTTGGAATATCCTGAGAGGGGAAARTCTTTTTATTCATGGTGGGCCCCTCAGACCACACCTGATAGTTTACGCCCAGGAAGTGAGTCATAGTGGGCCCTAATTTATGTTAATGAGATGAATGAGAATCGGGCTGGTCATGCTAGAGAGACCAATCACATGATTAGAGTTAGGGCTATGAACCACGTGATACTGGCCATACCTGCAGGAATAGGAAGGGACTAGAAACTAAGTCACCTGGGTGATGAGTCAGTTGATCATGCCTAGGAAATGAAGCCTCAGTAAAACACCCTAAAAAGTGCAAAGCTCAGCGCTCTGGGTGAACTTCCATGGTTGGCAATATGTCTTGAATATCATCATACTTACATGTTATGAAGATAACCCTGAATGCTTCCCGCTACAGGGTTCTCTACAACAACTCACCTGATAAGATCCAGAGGCTGCTTCTTGTATATGCTTCGAGGATGAGCCCATTCCCTGTACAGAAGGTACCTTTCATTAGGGCAGCTGGGGTCCTCTGACCGACTGCCGAATTGGCACTGGGAAGCAAAAGGAGACTAATGAGCACCATAATCATCATGTTTCCACAAATGTGTTTATTAAAGGTGGCACTAATACTTCACAGCCATTTGTAAAAAGGGGCCCTCACTTGCTGGAAGGGATGGAAATACCTTTTTTACTGATTCTAAATCAGGGCTACTACTCTCTCTCTCAGGACTAATTGTGAATGTAGACAGAGATGAATGCTCAGATGTTGCGATTCTGGGAAGCAATGTAGGAACTCAGTGGGAGCCCCAAGGATGCTTACCAGCCTACTCATGGGGGAGCCCTGAACAATGAAGAACTGGGCCACCCAAGTGACAAAATCACCACAATGGAAGAACATCTGTAAGCCTAGTCTCCTTGGACAATAGGGGAACCAGGGCCAGGACAAGCTTGCAGTGGGGCCAATTCTAAAACCCAGGTTTCATTTTTCCCAATTCAGCAAGTATTCTATAACAACATAGAATATAAACAACAAAGCAACTTGACATCATATTATTTATATAGCTTATTAAAAAAAAAAAACTTCTTGCCTCTGCCTACATTCAATCACCCTTTCTCCCTTTTTCCTTCTTCATATCCTAGAACCCAATTACCACCCTGCCTAGTCTTGGCCTTCACCTCTACCCACTTCCCTCCCAACCACCACACAGGATCATTCCCTGACCAGGATGTGGGACCACTGCGATTCTAAGATGCTTTAGTGGAAAAGACCTGGGCGCGGGCAAATGTCAACCAAACACTCCAGAACTCTGGCATTCCAAATTAATCTTCAGAACAACTACTTACCAGTGTCCTCAAAGTTCATATCACACTACAGTTGTTAATTTTTGCTGGAGCATAAAAATAAAACATGCAGACTGTCAGCCTGAATGGCCAAATAGGATTTCTTAGGAAGCTCAGCATCTACTTCTCCACCCAGCTCCCCTGTCTGTTTAGTCAAGTGTATCGAGTAGCTGTTTGGTGTCCTAGTTTTAGTACACTGTGCACTTCAGTATTGTCCTCATTCATCATAAACATACTACACAGTAGTACTCATCAATCTCAGTCCTTGTTTTCTTTGGTTTTATAGGTTGATAAACTGATTAAACATAACTAAGTAACAATGCAATGAAATGTGGTATTTATTTCAATGACAGAATTTATGTAAACAACTTCAGACATCATGTACCTGCATTTATGGAATCATTAAATCAGTCACATTTTTAAAATTTCACTTAATATGAGATGCTACCAGATAGAGAAGTGCAATTCAATTCCAATTCAAGGGGTTGCTGTGGTCTCCACATGTAGTCCTTAAAAAATGTCACCAATCTGGGATTTTGCCATTGTGACACATGCCTAATAGATGCTTTTTTAAAGGCCTGAGTATTACAGGGAATGATTTGAAAATAGTATTTCAAGAGGGAAGAAGTCTGTGTTGCAGAAAATGATAAATGAGAATTTCTAACACCTATTTGGTTACAAAGAACTCATACTTTTCTGGTTGATAAAAAATATCTGTCAGTCATTATGAAAATGGCTAGCACACAGTACTTCTTGTATGCTAAGGAATAACATAAGCATGGATTAATTTAATTAGTCATCATAACAATTCTATGAAGTAAGGAATATTATTATTCCCACTTTATTAATGAAGATACCGAGGCACAGAAAGGCTAAATGTGTCTTTCACAGGATCACAGAGCTAGGAAGTGTCAGAATAGGACTTTGGGCCCCAGAGACACTCATATAGGGTGACTGCTCATCTGTCTGGCAGTGTGTGTAAACTGCAAGAAAGAAACGGCTCACTCATCCATCTACTCCTTTAAACACAGCATATTCTCTATGCCTGGGATCCACTAGCGAACAAAACAGTCTGGTTCTTTCTTGCGTTAAGCAAGTTTATAATCTTGCAGTATGTTATCTTTTTTTAGTTGTAATATGGACTCAATGCCTTTTTTTTTTTTTTTTTAATGTGGTGCCAAGATCAAACCCAGTGCCTCACACTTGTGAGGCAAGTCCTCAACCACTGATCTACAACTCCAGCCTTCAGTATGTTATCTCTATGTTACCAAGAAAGAGACGTAAGTTTAGGAAGGTCAGTCCTTCTCTCTTGTCCACACTATGAGTATACATTAGGTCTCTTAACTTCATTTTTGTTATTTGACTTACATCATGAAGAGGGAAAGCCGCCTTGTAGATTCCAGAACTTACAAGTCTGTTAATCCCAAACTTGCTAACATTGTTTACCATGTGATACTTCACTCGGGAGAGGATAAAGTAGACCTAAAACGATTCCAAAATAATGTGGTTTATAGAGCAGAACAAACCAATCCAGTCACTGTTTCCTACTTAACAGGAATCTGAAGGATATWTTTTTTTTTCTGCTTAAAAAAAAAAAAAAATCAGACCACACCAATCAAATCACTAATTACTCAAGAGTAGGTTCCAAATCACCCCAAGACAGAAACTAAATTTGGTTTAGACTCACAATCCGGCTTCTGGTAGCTGGATTGAAGAAGGAATCTTTATCAACAATGTAAAAATCATTCATTCGGTTCTTCTCAAATGGGGCAGTGAAAAACTCTTGCTCTGGCTTGATGACACGTTCATCTACTCGGAGGACTTTGGTAAACCAGTTGAAACTATCAAAGGCTGAGGAACGGGTTTTCAGATCATTGGGTTTCAGAGGCAATTTGATGTGCATGATCTCAGCATATGTACATAATACATCCCATGGTGCGTGTACTTTAACAAATACAATCTTGTCATCCAAAACCTGTAAGGGAAGAATAAAACATGGACCAGGAAATCAAACCAACTATTTTCAAAATTTAAAACAAACATTTTTTTTTTAATGGGCTGGTAGTTAAAAAAAAAAAAATACATATGCCCAGAGGATACCAGTATGAGCGAAGATAAAATAAAAATAGATTTGTAAACCCATATAAAATTTTAAGATAACTCCTTAGTTTGAATTAACAAAGTAATTCAATCATTATCAGAGTTCTTTTATGAAAATAACATTTTAAATGATAGAACTAACCTTACCAATTCGTCCATCACTCCATCCAAATCAGTGACTTAGAAACACTAGAACACTCATTGTAATGCTATAACTAATAAAAATTTTTAATTTTCTAAAACTAGAAATGGACTGCTTAATTTCTTATATATCTATTCATTATGTTATTTGGCCATTAAAATGCCAAAGAATAATATTTATTGGTATAGAAACGCGTTTATTATATATTAAGGGAAAAGCAAATTATGAAACCATGAAATAATAATTCCTCTTTTGAAAGGGCTAACACACACACACACACACACATACACACACACACACTTTTTGGCTGGTAAGGGTACACAAATGGGACTTTTTAAGCTCCATTCTCTGATGTAATTTTCCAGCATTAAGGACTCCAGATTTTTAAAATTTTAATTTCCATACTAGACAGTCAAATGGTTCAATTACTTGATGTTTATGTGCATATTTCATCTGAGGAAATATACATATATGAAGACAGAAAAGTTTCTAAGAAGGACTTTCAGAAGGTTATTTCTGGGTGATTAAGATTCAGATGATTTTTATTTTCCCTATTTTTACATTCTCATTTTTACCATAAACTATGATTTTTATAGTTAAAAAAACTTCTAGAAGTTTCTTAAAGGAAGAAATAATCTGTTGTACAAGTGTTCATTATTAAATTCCTTGGCTATTAAAAAAATTTGTTGTCTTTAATGAGAAAAAAAATATCTCCTATAGAATGTCAATTTTGACTAACTCCTTTTCCCGTCTATGACAGCATCCTGGCCAGGACTGCACATTGCCACTGCCATCCTTGAATTCCAAGTGCCATGCAAATTCCCAAGAACACAGTCAGCTGAGGCTGGCAAAGAGACTACCACTTACCGATCTTGTTGCTTCTAGTTGCAGTCCCTGGCAGATGAGGTTAGATTCATATGCTTGTCTTTTTCTCTGTTAAAAAAAAAAAAAAATTGTTAGACCTTTATTTTACCAAAGGCAGAAAAAACAATTATGTTTCATTTAAAAATAAAATAATACAAAAGCAAACTAGTTATGTCCTGATAAAGAGATTCATCTGCTCATAATGGAACTGAAGCAATGAAGCTGCTCTCTCCATTGGGGATTTGAAGGTGTTGGGTTTCCAAAGAATGCTGGGCATGCTTTTGCATTCCCCAAAACTCTGGAGGGCCCTTGATTGTCCTGTTGGAATTTCTTGCCCTTTGAGGTAAGTAAAAGTCTCTTGCCAAAAAGGACTTTTTGGCTCCTAAGAGTATACAAGAGGGTTTTTTTTTTTTGTTTTTTGTTTTAAATTCCATTCTTTGATGTCATTTTTCAGTGTTAAAGATTTCAAATTTTTAAAAATTTATTTCCATACTAGGCATTCAAATGGTTTAATTACTAAATGTGTAGCTTTCATCCTGATTGCCTGAACACCACAGATAATATTGAAAAAATTCAGAGAATTTGAACTAAATTATTCATGAAGTTATAAACATCTGAATCGATAAAATAGGGAATTAATTGATAATATATCTGTCCACGTCACATGGCTGATTCCAAAGATGAGAGTATACTGCAATTATTGATATTCAATTACAGATGACGAGGCTTTTGCCAAACTAATGAAAGGAAAGCATGTAAAAGTGGAGACTTGTTTGACCTTTCAAAGATCACATTTGATGATGAAGCAGTTATCCTGCTTTAGGAAATGAAAATGCGTACATATAAAGGTTAAGAATACAAGATCTGAACCAAAATGCTTAGGTTCAAACTCCAATCTCATTACTTATCACCTCTATGACCATGACAGGACACTTTTAAAAACCCTGTGTCTCATTTTTTTTCCATCTACTAAACAGAGAAAACCTCACTAGAATCCTTTTTAGACTCTCAATGTCATGACTTAGGTGACATAAAGCACGTGAACTATAATAACCATTTCCAATAATGACAGGAAATAAACCAGACCAATCTTTCACTGAAAAAAATCTGTGTGTGTGTATGTGTTTACTATTTCAGCAGTCACAAGTTAGGGTGGAACTGCTGGGTTAAGGTCAAGACAATCCACAGGTCCAGCAGCCAGGCCTCCTTAGGATCTACCTACTGTGAAGGTGGGGTTGAGCTGCTTCGGCCAGGGACAATAAAGAGAGCATGGAATTCACCTAACAAATGTGACATAGATGATGCCATATGAAAAAAGATGAAAAAAATATACCTGGCGTTGGGCTAAATTTGAATCCAGACATGTTTTGCAGAAATATCCTAAATAGAAAATTGTTTTATTTAATAATCTGTTACATGGCACATTTATTGCTTGTAACACTTAGAGCTTACACTTACAGGAGGGTCAGTGAAAGCTGCGACTTCCCTTAAAGTGAGCAAGCAACTGGCCTAAAAATTCTGGAGTCAGGAGGGGGTGCGGAGCACTTGAAGTGCCACTCTGCTCCCAGCAGGTACTCACATCCTCTTGACTTCCCTGCTCGCCACCATCCCTTCAATTTGTCCTGGGGAGATTTTCAGCTCTTTCTTCCCTTCTGGTGCCATATTCACAGCCTCAACTTGGGAGGTTGACCAGATTCATTCCTCTTCTTATGTAAGAGGCATTATTTCACTCAAGATCCAAATCCTCATATTTTGATTCTTGTATGGTTTCTGATTACTCCTTTATTTACCATTGAGTAAAAACACTTTGATCCTGCAAACAGTGTTCAACATAGTGCTTGACACAAATTATATGCTTAATACATGATTGTTGAGAGAATATACATGGTCTTGGCTTGCTGTCATGTCAGTGAGTCACTGTCAACTGAGGTTTAAAAATATTAAGTGAAAAATTCCAGAAATAAGCTGATTTTAAAAGATTATTTAAAATAATGTGTACACTGCTCTGGTTTTATGCAATGAAATCTCATTCTGCCCCATCCTGCCCAAGATGTGAATCATTCCTTTATGCAGAGTAATTACACCGTATACACTACCTACCCATTTATCACTAAGTAGTCATCTTGTTTATAAAATGGACTATCGCAATATCACAAAGCCATGTTCAAGTAACCCTCATTTTTCTTAGCAGTGGTCCCAAAGCACAAGAATCTTGATGTTGATGATTTGAATATGCCAAAGAGAAACCATAAAGTACTACTTTGAAGTGAAAAGGTGAGAGTTCTTGAATTCATAAGGAAAAAAGTCATGTGGTTGAGGTTGCTAAGATCTACAGTAAGAATGAATTTTCTGTGAAATTGTGAACAAGGAAAAAGAAATTCATGTTAGCTTGATGTCACACCTCAAACTGCAAAAGTTACAGCCACAGTGTGTAAGACATGCTTAGTTAAGATGGAAAAAAAACATTAAATTTTTRTACCTATGTATAGGAAAAAAACATTGTATATATAGAGTTTGGTACTACCTATGATTTCAGGTATTCACGGGGGGGGGGGATCTTGAAATGTGTTCCCTGAAGATAATGTATGTGGTGGGGGTGGCTATTGTACTAAAAAAAACCCCACAACATTTATTAATTCATTCTACAAACATTTCCCGAGGTTCCACTATTTTCTAGGCAACCTGAAAAATACTGAAGAATCAAAGAATTTATTCTATTGTTACAGAGAATTACAGAGAAACTCAGCATCCAGTAATCTAAGACTTCCTCTCAACAGAAAGACTGGAACATTTATTCTTGTATTTCATGGCACTGTAATAGCCATCTATTACATGAAATACCAGAATAAATGACCACTCAACATTTCAGCTCCTACTGTATCTATTATAACAGATAAAAATGTACCCACTCCTTTTCCTGGTGCCTTGTGACGTTCAACTACCAGCAGAAGAGCTATACTTTGCCAATCAGACCACCCATTCCAGACTCTGAATAGGAAGCTAGAGACACTAAGGAGCCAGGCCAAACAGAATCATTCTGGGGTGGATGAGAGGGCAAATGCCAATTCCAGAGACTGAAGAGGCAGAGCTTGTGGCAGGATTTTTTGATGACTACTGCTGGTCAGTGGGTATCCATGGTGCCAATGGCAGCCCTGTGTCCAGGGCAGTAACCACACTTTTTTTCACGGCTGTCTGTGAAGAACTGTTTCTGCCCTGTCTGCTGGCTGCCTCGACTCATTTATTTGTCGAATTCTTTAGGGGAATCTATGAGCTCCTAACATCTCCCTGATAAATTCCTTATCTATTAACTTATAGCTATTTTTGTTACTTTCAAGCAAGAACCCTCACTGAGAGCATAGCCATGAACTAGGGAAAACCTGTTACCCTGAAACCAAATCACTATAAATAGAGGAGCAAGTATTCTGCAAGGGTTGGACACCATGAGGCCTTCTCCTTCAGGGGAGGGGACTCACCCTGAGGATGTGCATGGGGAAGCTGACATGCTCTCACTAGCAGGCTGCAGCAGGACCCTTGCCTGTGTCTTGTATACCCTACAGAAGACAAGAAATTTCACAGTTCAGGCCACGGGCTTAGAAGAATAGGAGAATCAGAAGAGAGGCTTCTCCAGGGCTTAACAGGTATTTAAGATTTAACTGCTGGTAAGAAACAAGTCAAATAACTACATCAACTGGCCTTGTTACAAGTTCACAGTTGCCATCACAGTCAGGTCTACCACAATGTACACCTATCTCCTCTGTGGCTCCTAGCCACCTGCCAGGGAGTGTTCTACACTTCCAAGGTGCTCCTCCTGCTGCATATCTAACTTGCAGACCAGCATGCTCCGCAGGGGACCTACCTACCTTCCTTCCTTACAGAGGACATGGCAGCTGCTCACTGCGAACTCATGCAGGTTTCCTTCTTTCTACCTACTAATAGCTAGACATCATCTGTCTTGATATCTGAAGTACATCCTTTTATATCTCTTCTTGAGTTATGTAATATCTCTATTTCTCTCTTCATTGCGCTCTCATTGCTCTTATTCCCCAGCCAACAAACATTTCAAATGCTTCTTAAGAATTTTAAATCTTTCTATGACTCTACCTGCTCTTTAATGACTACCTCTCCCCCGGAGATGTTAGTCTTTATGTTTAAAGTATCATTAATGCTCAGAACAGGCCTACAAAATGAATGTCAGATGAATGAATAAACTGAGCAGATGGTTGGCTGATAGCTTCCTATCATGTAGGAATGGACTGAGGTGTGCTAGGTACTACCATACAACAACTGCATTCCCATGTTCTTAGCCCCCCGACTTTTCCATGAACCTTCATTTGTATTATCTGATACAATGAGGAAAAAGTACATTCTATTCCTGGAATGTACTAGCATTAGACAGCACAGAAACGTCCAGAGCATGAACTGATTCCTAGACACTTCGGGAGTTTGAATTACGAGATGACAAAAGGGGTAAGGTTCAGAAAGCTGGGCCATTCTGTCATCAAACATACCAAACACAAACTACTCCTGTCTTGATCATATCAGTGACATAACATGAACACAACACACTGAATAGTACAGGCTAGACCTGGTGCCTTCTCTATATGGAATTTCTAAACTCAGGCTACAACTCATCACATTCAAGGAGCTCTTTCCTCTCAGATTCTAGTCTACAAAACAATCCCTTCAACTTTTGCAACTTTGGTTTCCCTCTTACCTTTGGGTATAACTGGTTATATTCAGAGAATCAAAATTCAAATGCTAGCTCTGCCGTGCACTAGCCTGGAGACACAGGGCAAATAACTTCAACTCAAAGCATCCTTGGTTTCATCATAAAAATCAGAGAAGAAATAGCTTCATCTTGAAGGATTAAATGGGATTCTGGGTATAAAGTATATAWCATGACACTTGGCATATAATAAGCCCTAGAAATCATTAGCCACTATCATTAACCTTTCTCTGCCTTCTAAAATGCTCAGCTTCTCTTAGACCCTAAAAAACAAAAAATTATCCTGCAAACGTACTAGAGGCTTGCCTTTCCCTTTTAATATAAATATTTGTCAAAATAGACA